TCTTCTCTCCATTGGAAATATGTAACGCATATGTAATGGGATCTCTAGGGACATTCTAGCTTGCGCTTGACAAAGGATGGCAGAGTGAATATCTCCATGACCGGCAAGAGTACCACACCTTTTGTTTGTGATTCAACAGCAAAGGTGCGCACATTAAAGAGTACAAGTCATTGGCATTGGCACAAACTATCGATGACTGATGGATTTGATTCTAGCAATGTCTTGTCACCCAGATAAAGTATCATCGTCAACGGAATTTTGGCATACGACACCGTTTTTCACGTCCATAAACTACTTGATCGGCTCCATCCTCTTCCTTGCAAGCTCCATTCTTGCCTGCTTCACATTTTTGCCTGCCCAAAATCTCGTACCGATATATGTCATCATCTCCAACCTAGCTTTTCTTATCGGCTCAATTCTCTTTACTATTGCGATCGGCATCGAATGGACCGTGATTGCGTCCCCCAGTCTTTTGATATCTTGTAGACGGTGGATTAGATGCCTACAGTATAGCACAAGCCGTAGAACCATCAACTCGAGATCAGACTCAATACGTAGGCCCGACAAATCACTACGACAGGTGTATCCCGAGTCGTTGCACAGTAGTACTCCAAGTTGGAGAGATCCATCATGGTGGAGCACATTGCTATTCCTGGTCGGTATCGTCTTTTTTGACATCCAGGCTCTTCTCTCCTTTTTTCCTTCTTCACCTCTGATGAACGCCTCCGAGATGACGGACACAACGACACAGCTATATCTATCGCGGTTTGGGATCTACCTTCCAAGTCTGATTGGCTCACTGTCTTTCCTATTCGGTGCTGTAGCATCGCTCGCATCAATTATTGTCACGCCTCAGACTGTACCACTTTACCAAAATCCTACTGCGTACATATCTATATCCTACTCTCTTGGGTCCATGCTCTTTGCGGCTGCGAGTTGGCCTGGTGTATTCCTTTACGGTGCTGTCGGATTCTGGACAGTAGGTGTACCATGGTTGGTGGGTAGTACCTTGTACATAATAGGGAGTGCCTTGATGGTTCTTGTCGCATATGAAAACACTGGACGGAACCGAAGCGTTACTAAAGGGACTGACAAGTGCCATCAGGATACGACACAACCATTGGTTGCGAGGACAAATGTAGTATAGCGATTGCTCAGGTCGGGTAGTTGTGTTTGAAATAGCATGCTTTGAAGAACCTATCTACCAAGCTGACTGGATCTGCACTTATGCTCATAGTCCGAAACCGTGCTCAAAGCACGACGGCTGTTAAATATTCCGCATATAGAGTATTTTAGAGGACAAGTTCTATTACCACCAAGATCAAAATGTGGTCCAACCAGATGGGACATTTGCTGGTGTCGTCTGCTCCGACTGTGCCTGGTTTCCCGTCGACGTGTTCGACCTGCATAAAGTAAAACATTAGAGGAGGAGCCGTGGGGTGCCACGAGCCTATATACTCACGATGACACGAAATCCGTAAAGTCGGACCACTCGTCCCCGCTATTCGGTTGTGATGGCTTGCTTGCTATTGACTGCTGTGATTTCAACGGTGTAGCTGGCTTTGTAGCGCTTGGTGGAGGGGGTAGGAAGGCTATACCGTGGCAGAACACATAGCAGATTAAAAATGTGAACGGTATCAGAAAGCATGGCTGCTCTTCAAACACCTACGTATAGGTGTGTTAGCATTGCTGTTGTTTGCCGGCGCTCTTTTGGATTTTGTTGAAGTCTACATTTTGAAAGAATGAGAGAAACGTCGGTTCAGTCCAGATCTCATGTCAACACTTACATTGCCAAGCTGAATTGAAATGGTTTCTCCTTCTTTCCAACTGTAATCTAACTTTGGACCTTGGGGTTGGCCAGGTTGATGCTGCTCTTTTTCTTTTTCTCGCTTGACGCGCCTATAAGATTTCGGTTTAGCGTTGTGCAAGCAATTTGAAAGGATGGGAAACGTACGTTACGTGATCCTGCAAGGCAACATTAAAATCAAATGCTTGAGATCGGTCAGGGAATCCCATGCCCACAAAAGCATGGTGACCTATGATCGAGAGATGAAAAGAAGAGTAAGCTGCGATGTTCTTGGTGAATACCGGAGGCAACCTACAAACCGGATGATGGATCAACGATCCTGAGAACAAAATATCTGCTAGAGTCTAGCACTGGTTCTACGCTATTGCTTTGGGGATCATAAGGGGAGACCGCAAATATGTCGCCTACAATTGGAAAGATATGCGATTGGCCAACTTTCGGGGGGTGCACAGCGAGATATTCCAATTTCGCACCTGTATTTGCGTCCTAAACCAACCAAATTTCAATACCATATTGACTACATTACCGCTCGGTCAACGAGGACACCTACCTCCAATTGAATAACAGCATTATCACCCTTGGCTATGACCCGCAGCCGCCCAGTCCACAAATGTTGGTTCACATCCCAGTCTGATGCTCTTAATGCCGCAAGTAAGCCACACTTTTGCATATGCGTGACAGGGACCGACCCTACAGGCTCATTACAACCAACCTGTATCCTCGGGTTGACGAACGCGGAGGAACCCTAGCAATCTGTCTCATGAGCCATAGCGACAAAAGACAAGCCTTCACACCGGTACTATACCTGTAAACATAACACTCCCTTATGACAAGAAGAACGGATTCGTACTCGTCAGCCATGACGGTCGGTGCGGACAATCTGCATTTGCAAGGGCATGCCAAGTTCTGGCCGTTTCGCTTACCCCATGACCACGTGCTGCGCGCGTTCGCTTACGTTGGCATTAGCTGATCACCTTCTCCGCCCAGTTTGCGTTTTGGTTTCGGGCGGAAAGGGAAAGCGGAGCAGAAGAAGATGGTTGAACTATCCACATGGAATTGTTAGTCCTGAGCTGAGCGTGTGTATGCAGTGATCCATCTTTTGAACTTGGAAGTACGCAAGAAGTATGTTAGCCGTCCGCACAGCGAACAAAAGTATCATCAGAATTGGCTTTACGTGGCTTGCAATATTGGAGTTTCCCCTCAACGTGGTTACATTCGCTGGACCGCACTGCATCTAAATGCCTTCATTTTCGGTAGTTCCCACGTTTTTGTGTTGATTTGAATCAGGCCTGGCTGAGTAACTATTGCAGAGTTTCTTTTCATTCTTTCGGGATAATATGTTCTGAGAGCACTGATCGAGAGTACAAGTTATTTAGGGCTTGGCGCTGAGATGTCTAATCGTGAAAATTCAATTAATGATTGTTAAAGAACGAAGGTGATAAAACAGACTTTATTACGGGCGTGCTTGCAGCTAACGCATAAGCCACCATCTACGATCTCTTGGAAAACAAGTTTAGATAGGAGGAAACATGTGCCGTGAAATTCGTTTCTTGGTTTCATAAGATGAGAGTTTATTACAGCCGATCTGGGGGAGTTTTGTTTTTTTCTTCCTTTCTAAAAATTAAAAAAATACAAACAAACAAATAGTCCAAAACTCAGTTTGGGGTCCCCACTCTCGATCGGCAATTTTCAGCAGGCCAAAAAAAAATCGGGCTTATTACATCTTATTCCTAATAATAGATTCAAGACTGTCAAAAACGTGTGGAATTTGGTTTCGAGGGTACAAGCATGAGGACACTCGTGTAGTTTGTGTGTTTGTTCAACGGTCAATATTCATTGTCGAAACTCAGGCATTGTTGAATGACGTGGTACACAAAATGCCATCACACTTGGTTCAACAATAGGAACCATATTGCCGGATTAAAAAGAAGGCGTTAGATAACCGCATAACTTTCCAAAGATCCCCAGTCCGCACCATATAAACAGTCGACCGCCAGCGCCTCATCGAAAGAGCTCTTCTATAACAATTGTTCTTATATGATGGTTGTTGTGCGTACTCACTCTCTCGTCAAAGTCAGGGACTCTGTACCTTGTAGCATACACCCAAATATGCCTGTGACAGTTCAAGATGGTGCCGACAAGCTCCATGTGCTAGTTACGGGTGGGGCAGGGTACATTGGATCTCATACGGTCTTCGAACTATTGCAGGTAAGAATGATTTTCTATCAGTATAGAATGATCATGTTGTTAATGTTACTTTTGGAAACTTTCCATAGAGCGGATACAAAGTCTCGGTTATAGACAATCTTAGTAATTCTACTGAAGAATCTCTCCGTCGCGTCTCCCAGCTCACCTCGTCCAAGATTCATTTCTACGAAGGAGACCTTTTGGACTCTGCATTCCTCGAATCTGTTTTTGCTCGACAACCTATTTGGGCTGTGATCCACTTTGCTGCTCTCAAATCAGCTCCCGAGTCCGTGCACAAGCCCTTGGACTACTATCGTGTGAATGTCGCCGGCACTATCAACTTGTTAACAACAATGTCCCGCCACGGTGTCCATCGGTTGGTCTTTTCCTCGACGGCGGCGGTATACGGAACCCCAGAGATGAACACCACGTTGATTCCTGAGACCCACGCAACCTCTCCAGCTAATCCTTATGGAAGGTCAAAGCTAATGGTCGAAAACATCATTCGCGACATGTGTGAAGCACATAAACCCTTGGCCGGGGTCATTCTGCGATATTTCAACCCGGTGGGTGCACATGAGAGTGGAATGATTGGCGAAGACCCTAAAGGCGGACCAGGGAACCTCATGCCATTCGTTCTACAAGTTATGACGGGAGAACGATCTCATCTGGAAATCACTGGAGTGGACTGGCCAACGTGTGATGGCTCCGGTGTACGAGACTTTATTCATGTTGTCGACCTCGCTCGAGGACATGTAGAAGCTCTCCGCCACGCCAATGTTTTATCATGCGAAGGTGGCGCATGGGATATAATTAACATGGGTACCGGAAGCGGTACATCAGTCCTTCAAATGGTCAATGCGATGGAAAAAAGCACGGGACTATCGATCCCTGTCCGGAGCGCGCCACGACGGGATGGCGACGTTGCAGAAGTGGTTGCCGATCCAGCTAGAGCACATAAGGTGCTCGGATGGAAAGCGATCAAGAATCTGGAGGACATGTGCAGGGATGCCTGGAACTGGCGACTGCAAAATCCACAGGGATACGACACCGCCCAATCCTCTTCAGAGGATCCAGGCAAGAGATTGATCAGGAGGAGCAGTAACAAGAACAAGAATTTGCATGCGTAGGTTTTTGTATTTAAACTGATATTTTTTTGTACATAGCCATTAGTGGCATCATTTTTTTTATATATATATATCTCTGTTTACCCTAACATCGAAACATTCTTAACTACTCATCGGGTTAATGTCACACCTGCAGGCATTAGACATTGGAACATGGAGCATAACATCCTTCACAAATCCCTATCATGCCGTAGATTCCAAAACGTCTTAGCTAGCAACTTTCACAAATACCCATCATGCGGCTGTAAGAGTAATAAAGAAAGTAGAAACGATTCCAAAACGTCTTAGCCAGCAAAGTGTTGCATCTATTCATTCTGATATCACTCCGGGTACATACACATCGTCTAACCCCAAAAATTAAACCTACGCAAAAATAAGCAACACTAAGGTAACAGCAGAAGACAAAACTACAAACTATAAAGAATAGGTCACATGAATATCTGACTTAATTTGCCCTCCTTAACATTTTCATTTTTTGGTATTCGCCGAGGGGAATAGGGGTTGGAGGATCCAGACTGTCACGGGTGTCAGTCGACTGTGGAATGTCCACAATGGGTACTTGTCCCTCGGGAATTAGGTCGTCCGGTGTAGTTTCTTCTTGAGCATGTCGGACGTAAAGCTCGCGGGATGAGGCTTGAGGCAGGATCTTTTGGGCTCGAATAGCTCTAGTTGTGGGTACCGCCGAGGCAAATGGGACTAGGGTACCAGCAAGCAGGAGGGCGAGGAGCTGCACCTTGGTGAGCATTGCTCTTCACGAGGGCTTGGTATAGGTAGATGGACTCGGGCGTATCCTTTAGTAAATGGCGAGAATTAAGAGTAGCGGGAAAGAGGGAGGGCATTGGGACACAACCCCCGGCTTTATAGAATGAGCAGCCAAGCAAGCATGACGACAACAAGCAAACATAACATGTTGATCTGCTAATTTCTCGACGTTTGTTTGTTCCCCGATATAGTTCTCTTAATTTGTTGCTCTTGATTGAACTATTAAACCTTTCTTCTTTTGGAGCGGTCTAGGTTTTTGTTTGCTCTAAACACAACAATCGCAACATAAATAGCAGCATCCAGAAATATCTCACAATGACGCTGATTGGTTTTAGTATGCATAATATTTATCTTCCCGTTTAGGCATTGCTTACGGTCTTTGACTCTGGTGGCATGAGTAGCTATTTTTGTCACCACGACAAGTCAACCATCACTGATCCCGAATTAAATGTAATTCTCCATTGAGTGATCCTGAATTCATCTGCATTTCTCCATTCACAGGTAAATTAGCGGATATCCACGGCAAGGAGCCCGAGTTCAGTCCCTCGCAGGATTACTAGTCCACCTGTCCCAGATCCGTGAATTTGCCACCGATTCAGCATTCTAGAGCTTCGGTCAGCGAAAAGTGTCCAGCACTTATATAAAACAGAACGATATGATATCCTTTCCTTTTTCAGTCTATCCGTTCACTCTATAGTCGGGCCTACGATCGTCTGACACAGCAAGCACGCCATGGCATCCACTGTTCAATCCCGTCTTCAGTTCTTCTCTTCCCTTAGTGGAAGCCAATCCTCTCTCAACAATCGTACACCACCATACAATTCCCGCAGCTCGCTCCATGCATCACAGCGCTCCTTGTCGCGCTCATTGGATACCCTACCAGCCCAGGCAGTTGAGCAAGACGATTCTGGCAAATTCATGCCCGTCCGTGATCGTATCGCACGGTATGGAGTTACCCCTAACAAACAACAAGGGCCCTTGGCAGATATCAAAGGGAGGTTCAAGGGTGCTTCCATGGAGGAGTTACCGGGGCCTGCTGAGAGTGCCGGAAAGACTAGATTAACGGCATCTAGGGCTCATCCTTATCCTACGAGCGGTAATGCGAGCAGCAGACATGCTAGCGAGGTTGATCTGAGGAAAGATGACGTGGTAGAAAAGCAGGAAAAGCAGTCGGAAGTTCAAAGAGAACAGGAACAGACCAACGACGAATCAGTTCCTGTGAATTTAGCGAATCGGTTGGCAGCCTATCAGGCGGCCGCCACTAGCCCAGCAGCCGCTAATCCAGTCGCCAACAACCCAGTCAAGCCTGAAGTCCAAAGCAAGCAGCAGCAAGCTCCTTCCTTCAATACTAGTGCTTCGAAGTCGTCACCACCTCAGCAGGCAAAGTTTGGTGTGAACAACAAATGCGCGGCCTGTAGCAAAACTGGTAAGCATCTATCACCCAATTCATTTTCTCCTGCAACGGATGCTTATCTTCTTTCCGTTCTAGTCTACTTGATGGAACAAACAATTATTGACAATGCAGTGTTCCACAAAACATGTCTCAAATGCGCTCACTGCAAGAGCACTTTGAAAATGGGTAATCTGGCTTCCATGAACGGTCAATACTACTGCAAACCCCATTTCAAGCAGTTGTTTAAATTGAAAGGAAACTATGCTGAAGGGTTTGGTTTGGAGGACCATAAGAAACAGTGGCTCACTGCTGAGGGCAAGAGTTCGTAGGAGGGGTTGTAGATACCTATTTTATGATTGTGATGGGTTTCGGGAAAGGTTGAACTTTATGTGTATGTGATGCAATAATTTTTTTTAAAGTTTAGTTTTTTTCTCTGGATGTTATCCATTTTTTGTGCACATTTCAGCTGCATAACGGGCTCAATTTCCGAGTCTATTTGCAGCCATCAATTTCAAACGCCTTCATCGCGGAACAGCAATGTCTTTCCAGATTGATTGCCAATCAAAAGTGCCATTGGCGCCCTCAACGCCCCTGCAAAACCCCGATCAGACCTGACGACTAGCAAAAGCGATGTCTATTTGACGGGGAAATCTATTCCGTACAGTGGGGTTCCGGCATTTTGATACAGTTCGCTTTGTAACAGGCATACAGGAGGTTACTGAGGTCCATTCAAGTTTGGAACTAGAATGCCTACAATACAGGTTCCAAAACCTCTAACGGAGCCGATTCGACCGCAACGACGACACTACTTGGATATCCAACCGGTCTACGACTATGAACCGACCAAAGGAGTTGCTCCGACGAGCCATACTGGTCGGCGGATGTTAGTAAGAGCAATCAACATTGTGATGCATGACGTCGGCTAAAGGATATGCGCACTTCCAGCAAGATCAAGTGCCATGATGCAAAAATACTTCACACCGACGCCGTATCACCGACAGGGGTGTCCACGTACCGGAGTGACTACCGTGACGTTGTGGACTCGATTAAAGTTCCTCGGCTTCCTTCCGCTCGAATGCCCCTAGATCTCGTTGCATCCGATGATATGCGAGTAGGTTCTGTGACTCCAAATTGACTCTGGAATCAATTTAACAGATTTCATTTGTAGTGGGCGCATCGCCGAGTAGACAGGAACGAAACGATATGGGATCCCCCAAAGAAAAGCGAAAAGCAGAACGAGCTGGATCGAATGACTTACATGTCTACGTATCAGAACGCATGTAATGGTAATAGCACCCCGCTGTGCGGACATCTTTGATTGGGTTGCCTCTGACGCATGCCTTCCCGACATGTAGAGACGCAAGTCGGTCTTCCGCCCATCCAAGTGGACCGAAGCATGTCAAAATCGCCATCAGGAGGCGTACACTCTGTATATCAAGACTCCTATCACCACCCTCAGTCTGTGAATGCCAATCTATGCCGGATCATAACCAATCCTTGGGGTAAAACCAATCTCCTAAATGTCCCTCAGACCCGAGGTACGGCTTCGTTCAGAACTCTTCTATGCTGTTTTTTGAATTTAAAACCATTTGCAGGGGTCGGAGTTCGCAACCTTTTACACGGCGATTCTCGTCCTGCTTCTCGCAAAAGTACCTCTTATGCTGCACACTATCAGATCTGGCCATCTTTAGAACCACCTCAGTCGCGTTCAACGTTCAGTTGGAAGGATATCTACAGTAACTAGGAGATGAGGCATATATATAAGACTGATGATAGGTATAGGACTAAGCTCCGGCTAGCAGAATGGCTGGTAGTTGAATTTATGATAGAGATTAGCTCCAACAAATGGTTTCTTGATACTAGTGCTTTCACAGAATTGATGCAGGTACCAGTTTGTAATTTCGATATCCGAGCAAAACAGGCATCGTTAGGCATATTACATCCTCTTATATTTACCTGTTGGCTCGAAGAGTCTTCATGATACGATATTATATAGCAATGACTAGTGCGATAGTGGCAGCGTGCACAAGCATGATGTGGCACCAAAAGTCAGAAGATAAGCGGGGAAGTGCTATTTAATAGCAGTTCCATTGAAAATATGGTGCTTTACGACTCTCATCTTTCGAACTGACATGCGCTATATGCGCAATCTCGCAGAAAGAAACACCTTTGCAACAGACCATCTTCATCAAGAACGTCGACGCTACATGTTTGGGTAAAATACATAGTAACCAGATGAGCAAGAAAGTACCATCAAGCAACATCTGTTGTCTTTTACCAACTTTTCCTATAACCCTCTCGCACAAGTTTTTGACAACGACAAATGGAGAACCGAAAGCGGAGTTGTAGCAGATAAGATGAGCAATCGCTTACCATAGCATGATGTAAACCACGAGACGCGACTCCTCAGCTCCGAGATTTGTTTCGACGATTGTGGAGTGGTCGAGCACGTTTTTACGACGGTGGGCGGTGCGGGCTCAGAAACGCTGGATATCTGCGACAACCATTCAAGTGTATTCAACATCTTCTTCGTTGATAGGAGCATCACAGCGTACATCTACGTAGAGTGGTAGTCTCTTCGAGTCCCGACGGTACCGATTGACACGATAGGATCGTGCAAACGTAATCAAAAAACCGAGCGCCAAAACAATAGCACCCAAACTGTTTTTAGAAACTAGGCCCCTCAAGGCTGTTTTTCGGATGACATTGCACATGATATAGACCTATACTGAATACGCCGACAAGTCTCTTTGGGTATCTAGTCCATCGTGCGCCAATTAGCCAGCCCCCTCTCACGTAAACGGGTATCCTTCAACACTGGGTACACAAGGCGGAAAGCAGCACACGACGTTGAAGACTGGTCTGCTTATCCACTACGTGTTCCCGTCTCCATTGCGCACACCGGCCTGAGCCTTCAGCAAATTAGGGTGCCTGCGAACGGACAAACTTGTCTATTCGCAGCATACGTCGCTAGATAACCGAACTTGAGCGGCCATGTCTCTTTTGAAAAAACTTACAGGCTCGACAAAAGGAACCGGGGTTTTTAATAAGAGTAACGCCGTTAGTCCTTCCGCATCTCCTACGCTAAAAGGCGCCGACGCTACGTCATCTCCTGCCGGGACTCCCATCGTGAAGGAACCCTCGGTGATAAAATTGGACCCTCCAGCGCTTGGAAAAGAACCCTCTGCCATGTCGATTGTTGGAGGGCACCCGATGCAACTTGATCATCATCAGACACCTGGGCATTCGAGGTCCGCGACTCACGATGGTTCTGGTGTTTTACCAATGGACATTGACGCGTCCTCTGGACATAAACCCACTGGGCAAAAGGTAGGCAAACCTCTTTGGTCGGGCTTCTTGGATCCATTTATGCAATATATTAATCAAAAATCATGGGACGGTGGTGCAGACGTGGTTAGATGGCGGAACCTCAAGTGGGATCACAAGTCCTCCTGCGGCTCTGACTCGCCCGCCGCAATCGATACCCAACGCCGGAGCGAGCTCCTCCGGCACTACTGGTGTCTCAACACTTCCCGCCGTGCCCGGTGCTAGCCCGACAACTCCAAACAGACGTAAGCAGAAGTTTTCTCTGCAAGATTTCCAACTTGATCGCACACTGGGAACTGGTTCGTTTGGACGGGTTCACCTGGTCCGCCTCAAAAGTACCGGGAAATATTACGCAATGAAAGTGCTCAAAAAAGCAGAGATTGTGAAAATGAAGCAGGTTGAACACACCATCAACGAGAAGAACATTCTGGAGCAGATTGACTTCCCGTTCTTGGTCAGTATGCTAGGAACATTCCAGGACTGCGCCAATTTGTATTTTGTCATGGAGTACGTGCAGGGTGGAGAGCTTTTCTCATACTTGCGTAGATGTGGGGTAAGTCGTGGAAGTCAGCGATGCGTGCATGGAACATCCAGTTTTGGACCGCACTGAAAAAGGAGGCTAATCTTACGAATATATTTTTATTTAGCGCTTCCCAAACCATGTTGCGCGGTTCTATGCGGCAGAAGTTGTGATGGCTTTTGAGCACCTTCACCAAAAGGATATCATCTACCGAGATTTGAAGCCAGAGGTATGGAGATCAAAAGTGCTGTCTATAAAAAAAATATCAATTGTTCTGATTCTGTGATTATAGAACTTGCTCATCGATGCAAGAGGGAACATCAAAATCACTGATTTTGGATTCGCAAAACATGTGCCCGATGTTACATGGACGCTGTGTGGAACGCCAGACTACCTTGCTCCAGAAATCATTCAATCGCGGGGTTATGGTCGAGCAGTCGATTGGTGGGCATTGGGAATTTTAATTTATGAGGTCAGTCAACGGTTTGTCCAAATTCCGTTGAAACGCCTTTGCTGAGAACTTTCTGTCGTGTCTCTCAGATGCTCGCGGGCCACCCACCCTTCTACGACGAAGACCATTTCAAGCTATACGAGAAAATTTTGGCTTGCAAGCCCAAATTCCCGACTCACTTCGACCCAGCGGCGAAGGACCTTGTCAAACGGTTACTATCGCCTGATCTAACCAAACGCTACGGTAATCTTCGAGGCGGCGTGAGTGACATCAAGAGACATAAATGGTTCGCGGGAATTGATTGGGAGAAGCTTCGGAATCTTCAGGTGCAAGCACCATACATCCCCCCGTTGAGGGGAGAAGGCGATACGAGCAATTTTGATGCATACCCGGAGGACCATGAACCCTATGGAGTAGTGTGTCCGGATCCGTATCGCGAGAAATTTAGGGAATTCTAGAGAAGTAATGGGATGTTGTACTCGGCTGATGTCAGAATGTGGGAACGTTGGTAGAATCTGGATTCAATGGTGCTCTGCACCTCCCAAGTGGCGCCCATTCAAATTGTTACTTGACAGTTGTGGATTCGCTGGTCATTGTGTAGTTTGAATTCAGTTTGAATAACCACATCTCTTTAGTTGCAAGCCATTGTTGAAACTATGGCATGAACCAAACTTCTAATCGGATACTTTGAGAACTGTCTCTATATGCTAAAATGGACGCTCATATGGTGACATAGGGGCACATTGCTCTCCTCGTATCCACCATAACGTTGTGTGTTTCATTCAGCCTTCACTGATCAAGCAACAGGCGCCTTCAGATGACGAACTGTAGAGGTGCCGAATAGATAGACACTGTCTTTTGAGATCGCAAATCTTCCAGAGGCCACCTGTATTAGCTAGTCAAGATTTGTGGGCATAATCCTACGCCAGCATAACAGCAGGAGGTAAAGTAAACACCTACTCAACCAAGTAGCCGGTCACCATTTCAACCGTGACATTGACTCTTTAAACCCGGTTTCTGTCCTATTTACAATTTCCCATTCGAGACTTTCTGCACTCAGATCCAACTCGCCGTAAAGATGAGGAAACAATTCGCTCTCTCCATTCTCAACTTCCTTGCTTTCCGCTTCCTTTAGTTTTAATCTTTCTTCCGGACTCGCGCCAGGCGGACAAGGGAGCTCAAACTTTACTGAATCTTGCAGTAGTGTGTAAGGTATCTTTAAAAGCACAATCTCTGGTTGGTCCTGGTAAAAACGGTCGGCAACAATGGGAGCTTGCTTGGCATTGGATAAATGTATAAATCCGTCAGTGTGGTCGAGGCTTGTTCCACGCCAATATGGTTCAAAAGCCAGGTTTTTCAGTTGCAGTTCCTCATGCTCGGACACGGTGAGGATCTTGTAGAGGGTGGTCGGAGGTGAGCTTTTAAAGGACATGATCTGTGGCAAAGATCTTCCAACGAGGTTCCCGACCTTGGTCGATCGTTCCTAAGAACAAGTGCCAGAGTGAAGGAACCCAAAAATCGCACTTAAATCGATTTTTAGGGTGGTTCTAGTGTGATTTGGAGCGACCTCCAGAAACCACTCAAAATGTGACGAGACAGTCTCCAAAGATTCATTTGCAACAAATGATGATGTCGAAGTTGTTCTCAACATTGGGGGACGCCTGCAAGTCAAGGATTGGAAACTGAAATGCCAAGGATACCACCGAGTTGCTCAAAGGCCTGGGGGCAGTCAACGTTTACAAGGATCTCTTTGGAAGCCATTGATGTTGCTGTTGTTATTAATCTTGATGTCGATAATTACCATTGCCCATGGCTGTTTCAGGGTCGATTTAGCATGATTTTTGGCGATTTTAAAGCGGTTCTTGACATCATCCTGAATATGATAATCAAATACTTGTATTCCAGCGAACGGTATTGCCTAACTCGGCAGTTGTAATGAAAGTCAATGGGGAATCCACAATATGCGCATGAGCTGGCTATTTTCTTGAAAGCATTTGGAGGAATGCTCCAGACAACCTTCGAGAGAAGAATACTAGAAAAGACCACAGTGGTCGAGATCTGCTGAAGGTCACGTGGATATAGATGTACTTTATATAGTATGTGCACAAAGATAGCGCAAGTGCTTCCTGGATGTGTATCTACGCCGCACGAGGAATAAAAACAAAGGACGGGATACAATAGATATATAGCTCAAGAGTGTCTAAATGTGTACCTAAATGTGTACCTATGCTGAAGAATATATTAGAACTCATATAAACCGACGAGGGAAATGTTGTCCCCCGCAACTTACAAGTAACATATTTAGTTTGGAATGGACCACAGCATTCTTATCCACACCGCTAGAGGGGTAGTTTCTCCTCCGGTCGGAACCAAGGCAAATTTGGTGATAAAACACTTTGTCTGTTATGGGGTTAAGGAGTCGCAGGTATGGATCAAAGCACGATGAATTGGACTGGATGTCCTTGTTAACGTGGAGTCTAGGGATGGCTAGTATACACGGACGATATGCCGCTGCCAGCAGGAGAGTACGTTTTGATCGGCGAAAAGCACCCGCCTACAACCTCAGCACTCGCGCCTGAGCAGCTCACTTGGGATGTCAGCGATGAACCTATCTTCCCTGGAATCCTGGTAACCGGTGAGTTTGAGTTTTCAAAGCGAACTTTTTTGCATCGGGTAATAGTCACACTTATATTCTCACGATTAGATCCATTGAAGGAGGTTCGAGAATTGGTAAGGGCGTTGAAGGAAAGGATTGCTCCGAACCTTGCCCTGCAGCTTGCTACCTTGAAGGCAGAAATGGAGAGCTTAAAGCTCCGAGTGGCCCATATGGGCAACGGAATTGACCACCTCATGGAGATTGTAACGGTGTCAGCCGCATCTCAACCCACAAAGTGCTGCAGCATATGTGATTGCAGCCGGATTACGACCCTGATGAAAACTTGCTCGCAATGCAACGCAGAGTGGTGTGTAGGGTGCTACTACAAGCAGATACCAACAGCCACAGGGGCGGTGAAATGCCCATTCTGCACTCACGTCATTGCTCAAGTGCAAATCTGATATTATGTATAAAAGTATAATGTATTTGATAGATATCCACAGTCCTCCCACTCCTATTGCCATCAACAAATATGTAGGTTGCGTTTTGCTGGTTCCAGTGAGGCCACGCCGTGAGCCTGCCAACAGTGGCTTAGCATCATTGCATGACAGACTACTGGAACTCGAGCTTTCAAGCTCACTGTTGGCTGATTTGATTGGCGGATTTGACCAAGTGGTGAAACCCCGGAGGGCGGACAGAACATTGCTTCTGCATCACGCAAGTTCAAAGGATCCGCTGACAAGCACATGCAAGCAAGGACGTCGCCAACGCCTCAGTTGACATTATGCCCGAGCGCGTTGACAATGAACAATTTGCCAACTTCTCGAAGCAGACTGAGTCTGTGCCATTAGCAGAAGGGACAACAAAGCCTGACTCGCTGCTGGAAAGGTTGTCAAGCTTTGATAGCGACAATCATTTTCCAAGCGCCGAAGATGGGGATCTAGACTTGGACTACGATTTCGACCTTGACGATGACATTAACGCTTTACTCCCGTAATTCCGTCTCTTATCGGAACATTTTCACCAATATATAACTCATCTGATTGCTTTCATTAGACCCAATGACCGTATTCCCTTCCCTCCCCCTTCATCCCGACAAGCCTCGTCCCCGAGTTTCGATTTTGGGGCTGTTCACCTAATACCGCTCTCGTCGACCCTGTCAAAGTCGGAAACTGAACTCCCGCAGAACCTCACATTTTGGTCGGGTCTCGCGTTAATTATTGGAATGAGCATTGGGAGCGGCATCTTTGCATCTCCCGGACCAGTGTTTGCATATACGGGATCGGTAGGCGGAGCTTTGGGAGTGTGGATTTTGGCAGGATTATTGGCCATCACGGGTGGACTCTGTTATGCGGAGCTGGGGGCAGCGATACCTGATTCCGGAGGCGAGCATCCATACCTCATGCGCGCGTATGGGTCTCTTCCGGCTTTTCTATTCAGCTGGACGGGCGTCACAGTTACGCGACCGGGGTCTGTCGCTATCATCACAGTCATATGCGCAGAGTATTTGGTGCGCCTTCTCCTTTATGCCAACCCGTCTGCTGCGGATAATCCACCCATGTGGCTCGTCAAGCTTATTGCGCTTCTCTGCATTGGAGGACTTACAATCGTGAACTGCATATCGACAAGGTTGGGAACAGCCGTCCAGGATGTATTCACGGTTTTGAAGCTTGTTTCGCTTCTGGTCATCGGGACAATTGGGCTAGTAAAGCTAGGGGAGGCAGGCATAGGGGTAAACAAAAATTCTGGAACCAATGGCGAATCACACAACTTCCATCATTCTTCGATTTTTGAAGGGGGCTCTAGAAACGCAGGCGATTATGCCCTTGCTCTTTACTCTGCATTATGGGCTTATGATGGATGGTGAGTTTTTGTCTTTAGGTGGGTGAAGCTGACATGCGCCAAACTGCCCATGCCAATATCGCTTCATTTATTTTATTAATCTGTTGCTCTGCCAGGAATAACTTAAATATGGTTGCTGGAGAGCTTAAGAATCCTGCCCGGGATCTTCCCCGCGCGATCGTCGCCGGACCAGCTATCGTCATTGTGTGTTACGTTCTTGCTAATATTGCATATTATGCCGTGCTTCCGGAGGATGTCATAGTAAAGTCGAATACGATCGCTATGGTACGTTTATAGCTGTTATGAGCTTTATTTGTGACAGGATCTCATCGACTTTTCTAGGACTTTGGAAAACGTGTATTTGGACATGTTGGCGGGATCATTATCCCCCTCATTGTGATCGGGTCCACACTCGGTGCGGCCAACGCTTCAATCTTCTCTGGCGCCCGAGTCGCATACGTATCAGCGCGATCATCCCACGTTCCCCTCTTCCTGGGCAAGATTCATTCCCAGTACCGAACACCGTTCAACGCTCTCATCACCCAGTCTGTTCTTTCGTGTATCTTTATTCTTTTCGGCTCTTTTACATCATTAGTGAACTTCTACTCCATGATTGCCTGGCTATTTTATCTCCTTGCGGTCTTGGCGTTGGTTGTTTTGCGATGGAAGGAGCCACATTTGGAACGGCCGTACCGCGTGTGGATGGTGATGCCAGCCATTTTCATGGTGGTTGTGATATTCCTCCTCACGTTGAGTGTGAAGGGAGCCCCCACGGAAGCCATAGGCGCGTTAGTGTTTATGGGTAGTGGAGTGCCACTGTGGTGGATTGTGGTGCGCAAGGAAATAGGTTGGGAAGGTATGCACGATGTGTGGTTCACTTTCAAGTAGCCATGAGACTAATGCCGTGGGTAATTTTCAGTGCTTGGACAAACTTTGACAAGAAGTATCGGGGCAGTCTTCTCGGTAGTACTCCACATTCTTCCATCACAAATACGCGGATCGATTACATCAATATCGTTATCTGCACTGTCGCCAGCAGCTGTGAAAACGCGAATAAAAGAGTGGTGGCAAGATCGAGCTACGCATTGGAATTATAGGAAACAACGGTCGCAGGAGGATGGGTTAGAAATGGATGAGACGGGGATGGCTTTTTAGGTAGACGATATTGAATTAAATCTGATTGAGATGTGATAATGATAATACCCGTTAGCCAAGCCCCCCTATAAGCCGCAAAAGCCACCAGGGCAATCCAAGTGTCCGCCGCGAAGTTCCTGCAATGCACCATACCACTTGAGTAGTATGGTGGTGCATCGACCTCTGCTGCGACCGGTGCCCACATCATTGTTTACTCACTTAGTACCAGCTGCACGTATTTGCGTACGGCAAGTCCATGTTCTCAGAACACCCATTGTGGGCACGAAGACGACCATGCCGACACCAAACGAAGAGGCTGTGCGGAGTCTACTTGCTGCACCCGAAGTTGCGCCTTTGAAGAAGACATCTTCGTGGTCCATTTTGGTATGGATTTTTGGCCTGTTAATCTAATACTGGATATACGGGCTTCGACCTCGGTTGTAACAGAATTCACGTATGTTAGTGTGCCGCACTAACCAGTGCCAATATGCCTAGTGTGATTCCGCCTGCTGTTACCGTCATGGTAAAGGAGGTGACGACAAAGGATAATTCAGAGATTGTGCGGTTTCTCAGAGTTGGGAGAGAGGCTATTTTCAAGGTTGGTGTTCTTGCCATTTCATGCGGTTTCTTTCATTTCACAGAAATAACTTACTGTGCATTTTTGGGAATGATGCAGGCTTATACCGTTGCGGGTACTCCAAAGGTTAGCAGAGATTTCCTAGTGCAGTGCTGTTAAGACTATTAATGTTGATTTTGTCAAAGGCCATCAATGGTTTAACAGAGTTCCGAACGGCCGCCATGGAACAATGCCCTGAAGCATGGAAGGAATTGGAAGATACAACAGCAGCCTCTAGAATCCCTGAAGGATTTTCAGATGTTCAAGCTTGGACTGCACGTGGGGAGGAAATGTTTGATACGATATACAATCGTTCAGGTGGGATGCACAAGGCCAGTTGGTCATTCGGATCGCGAGTTATTCATCATTGGCGTATAGCAACGAGATTGAAAACAATCCTATCTGGTATCCACCCAGACCTTCTGCCACTTATATTGTCTGAGTCGTATGGCAAAGTGTTATCTAATGGAGATGCTCTGGATTTAAAGGATACTGAATTGGTAATGGTCGCAGCCTTGAAGGTTCAGGGCGGCGCGGTTTCAAAGCAGGTGGAGAGTCATCGAAGGTATGCTCTTTTTAAGGCTTGCCCTGTCCGTTCATTAACGCACATGAATTATTCAGAGGGGCGATCCGAATGGGGGTAAGTCAAGCCGAGGTCGAAGCTGCCGAGTTCATAGCAGATCAGATTGTCGTCAGATTCGTCGAATAGTGCAACTACCTTTAGATTGTATTCGCTATATATTAAATACGTTCTATATACCCGCTGCTCAGAGGTGTATTTGCGGCCACCATGAAACGCATCCAAAATCTGGAAAAGGAAAAGCCTTCAACCCTCCATTGTGCATGTAAGGTGCCACGAACAGGGACCCTGACAATGCAGCAAAGAGGAGCACCGCACACCATCTTAGGGGATTGGGCAAGGACTTGTACATCTTTGTTCGAGACCACTGCAGCTCCATAGCCAGTCCCACGAACTGGATCAGGAAGAACATGCAATTTTGAGCAGAGACTTCCTTGAATGCAACAAAGTTCACGTGCTCGTGAAAGACTCCCGATAGCAAGAATATGTTGAAGGCAGCAAGCATGGTTGCGGACATCGAAGGAGGTTTCGCGTCATTCCTTTCCTCGTCCACCTTTTCTTTTTCATTATATCTCACTCTTTCGTTCGGGCCGCCACCAATGATGGCCCTTGCCAGGCATTCTTGGAAAGGCCCATTCCATCTCCATCTCCAAAAGGCCCGTAGAGATGTAGCCGCGTAGGGCCGCTCAAACATGTCCCGTGTACGAACTCGTAATAGAAACTCGATGATGGAAAACAACACGTCCGCGATACCGCCCATCCATAAATACATGATCAGGCCTGCTAGCACGGTTGCAATGTATCGAGAAGGTGATAAATAAGTCGTCCCCGCCCAGAATTCTGCAGCTTCAGACCCATTGAGGAACGGAACGGTGCAGGACGCAAAGTGGAAGCCCACAAGCTTGAGGATGCCCCTACCAGCCTCACATAAGCAAGGTCTGATCACGTGGTGTAGGTGATGAGCGCATACCTTCCCGTTCTCCTCAAAAACCGCTCCCGGCGCTCGCCTGGATCTCGAAGATGCGGGTTCTTTCTGTCGACAAAGGCGTGTAGATATCCACAAAAGTGCCTGACGTTGCCCTTTATTGATGATTCAAGAGCAGCATTATTGAGGATCTCCCAAGTCCGAAGGGCTGACACGTGGACTACAATCAATATTTTATGAATCCTTACATAAAAACACTTATCAATCTTACCAAATACCCATGCAATTGTCGTCATGAACAAACGAGCATATTGCCCGGGGTGTGGTAGGATAAATGGCGTTGTCACCAGATAGCTTGCGCATATGGACAAGAGAATGCAAGATCTTAAGGCGGACACAGGTAATGCATGGATAATAAAATAGGTCAAAAACGTAAGCCCATAGAAGAAAAGAACATTCAAGGCTACGAGAGAGGCAGGTGAGAAGGACGTGAAAAGGGACATTGGTGGGTGAAATCGAGGTGAACTCGCATCGCCTCGAACGAATCGTCGTCAAAAGGCGTCCGCGCACTCAGCCGATCATGCCGTTTTGGGAAGGTTCAACGATTGCTGACTGATGCTTACATAATCGCTTACGTCTGACTCCGGTTGACCAGCATTGCCCAGCCTATTTCCAATGCCTGCAAGCGAGCAGACTGTAAAAAGGGAGGGCAGTGCGGAGATAATGCACTGAATAATTATAGCTTTGGTTCACTTTTACGCTGTAGTGGATTCATGCTTCCATCACACATTCGATACGGTGCAGTACGCAATGACTGAAGATCAAACAATGTTATTTGGTAGTACTCGAGCAAAAAGAGACAAGTGGGAAAATAAGAGAGATAGCAAATTTGATGAAACTACTGCGTTAAATACGTTGTTGTCTGCTGCCCAGACTCCATCACCCGTCACCATATCGAAAAAAACCGCCGTGCAAGTTACGATGGACGCAGCAGATGACCGAAATGTACTGGAAGGCGACAGGATGTGTGGGAAATTCTACTGCGGCACCATGCTCAATGCTGGCCACTCCTGCCTTCTGGATCCTCATTATCATAGTGGTGACGAAGCCTCGTCCATCGGCGATGTTGGATCGATCGATATTACTGATTTCTTCACGGATAATGGACTTCACTCCGCCTGCCATGACATCGCAAGAGATGTTTCCGGGGCGACTAATTCTAGTGAACTACTATCTGAATTGCTTCCAGTACGTACTGGTTCCAAGGCTGCGTCTAATGAACGTGCTACCTCAAATCATAAGGAATCCGATCACGGTTTATATGAAAGCAGTACGGGCGGCGAGGAAACACACAACTGTTCCTTACCCGTATCCACCACCAACCTGGATGAACTCTTATACCCAACGCACCATGACGAAGCAATGTCCAAAGCATTTGCTGCTGCTGCTGAAACCTCCCAATCACATTTACCTGTTCTGGTAACTCCCCCGTCTCCACCATTGCCAACACCCAAGAGCCGACAATCCCTTCGACGACTGTTCAGGCCACGCTCAACTTCATCCTCGAAAAGCTCGATCAGGTCTGTTGAAACAACGGCGAGCACGAATAGTTCCATCATAGATCAGTCGACGTTGAACGTGAATTTGGGTCTTCCCCGCGTTCGTAGAAGGTCCCATGTATACTCGCAGCGTCGCTCTCTAAGTCATGCGGGGGCAGTGGCTGAAAACGCACCGATTGATATCGATCACCTAGCTGCTTGCGATTCTGATGACAGTGCGTCGTGCCGGAGCATCCCATTCGATATAAGTGCTCTAGCTTTCGATGACACCAAGCCGTTTCTGGATGTTTCGTCGCGCAATCTATCTCATTTCCCACGGCTATCCGATCGATTTGGTGGCTTGGTTGAACTTCATATGGTTAACAACTGGATTACGGCCATACCTGGTGCTTGTCTGGGGATGCTCGTCAATTTACAGGTTTTGGATATGAGTCAGAATTTGCTGAAAGAACTGCCTCCCGAGATTGGATTATTGACAAGTTTGAAGGAGATTTACGTACGAGAGAATCGGTTGGAGGTGGTACCCACAGAATTTGAGCAGTGCATCAAACTGGAAGTTTGCGATTTTAGTAGAAATCGGATAGCAACTTTAAGTAAGAATTCCAAATGATTTAGCAGGATCTTGTGACAGCGGTATACTTACTGTTGCATCACCTCAATGTAGGTCCAACGATCTTTTCCCGCATGTGCTCCCTTGCTACAATTGACATCTCCCACAACAATCTACGTATCTTACCTTCATCCATTGGTGTCCTGAAAGGATCGCTAACCTCGCTTCAAGTGGACAGTAACCCATTTGACCCGTCCTTTATGAAGCTTGTGACACCTCTTATCGCCGCCATACAACTTGAGAGGGAAACAAGTCTTTCGGTACCACCTCCCAGGCAAGGTTCCACTGAAGATCCCGAGAGGAATGACAGCGCGTGGTCACAAGGAAGCACTACGTGGAATGATGATGAGAGTACTGGGCCTGGTACGCCAGGGTCAATACGAAGTGGAAAGCGGATTCGTAGTTTACCACCAGGAGGACTGACACCTGACCAGTTTGCGAAACTTGAAGGACTGTTTGCGGTCAAGTCTCCACCAAAAGAAACACCCTCAGGTAGTTGGAGGAGCACGCCAAGTCATCGAAGCAGTTATCCCAGCTATCGACCGTCCGTGTGCGATGTTTCCGCCATATTCGGTGAGACGGGAATGTCTGGACGAGCAACACCGAATGGGAACTTTCGTACTCCGAGTGGCAGTGTTCGGAGTCGTCTGGGTATGGTTGGTGCATTCGGCGTTCTGGCCACTTCTCCACTGTCGGTGAATGGCGGGGATGGGACAAGTAAGGATGAGTTCAGCAAAGATGATGCAACTGCCGTTATGGATGGAGAGAAGCTGGACGTTGGGCTGGATCCTGGAGAAACGGGAACTATTGGGAAATCCAAGCTGTTTGGTCGAATTGGAAAGCGAAAACCAAGAATTTCTTCCTCAGGTATTGGCATTATTACACCAGTATACTGTTCATCTCTACTAACGTGCAGCAAATGGCACCAGAGCCGGGACAGGTTAATCGTAAAAGCTCCGTAAGCGAATCCTCCCCAACTTCACGCAAAACTTCAGCTAGCCTCCCTCAATTGATGATTGGGCCGCGAACCTCTTCGTTGGAGCCATGTGAGTCCCCCACGGCGACCATACCAAGCACCCTCACATCTTCGGCAAGCATTACGGAAAAGAAAGTTGCATCGAACAGACATCGTATCTCCTCATTTTTCTCCAAATCATCGACACAGCCAAAGGCCATCTCCGATTCGGCCGGTTGCTATTTTGCTGCTACGCCAGAGTCACCATCACGCATCTATCTTCATCGGCTTCTTAACTACCTCCGGGATGCACACGACCTAGATCCACGCGCCAACGGCGCTAGTGTGGAGGTTCTCACGCAGCCTCGTGAATCTACTGCTCCAGATCCCGGTGGAGACCAAGTGCATGACGCCAAGCAAGCTGAACGATTAAGAAAGAAGCAAACCCCAGAGCGAAGGCGTAAAGTAGTGATGGAGATATTAACCACTGAGCGCACATATGTGGAGCAGTTGGAAGCACTATTAGATGTTTACATTCGTCCGATCGAGGAGAGGGGAATTCTCAATGCGCAGGAGAACAATGCATTGTTTGCAAATGTCAAAAGTATTTTGCTGTTTCACCAGGAGTAAGTATTCTAGATGTTATGCTGTTTCAACGAAAATGTTGACAACGGATGACACTACCTGGATAGGCATTTGCTCCCGGATCTGGAAAAGAAATGCAGTAGTCCAGAGCAGCAGCTCGGTCCGGTCTTTCTCGCTGGCGCACCTTTCTTGCGCATGTATTCGGTAAGAATACGATGCAGCTCCGAATATGGAGGTCGTTGGCTGATTCAATTTCCCACTGTCAGGCCTACTATAACAACTTTGACGCAGCAAACACGTTTGTATGTCACCTTGAAGCTCAAGTTGCATCAAACAGCCCGGCAAACCCCTTCCCGCTTCCCGCGTCAAGCGCAGCATCCACAAACATGCAAATTGTTGCACAACGGGCCGCGAGCAAAGCACGAGCTAAACAATTTCGAGAGTTCATGCAAGAAGCCAAAAAGGACCCACGGCACACTCAAAACAGCCTTCAATCATTCCTCATCTTGCCTGTACAGCGACTGCCAAGGTACAAGCTTCTGGTAGACGAACTCTTGGAGTGTACTCCCACTGAGCATCCTGATTATGCGGAATTGAAACGCGCGAGGGAGGAAATTAGGCGACGGGTGGAGGAATGCAATGAGAAAAAGCGAGAGTGGGAGGCCAGGGAACGGGGTCTGGGTGTTTTGCTGAGGGTACGAGTTCGCCCGTGGTCTTCGGGTGCGGATGCTGTAAAGCACGTACCGCCTGGAAGACGATTTGTAAGAGAGGGCGTTTTAAGGGTCCTCAAATGCGTAGAGTTTGTCGGTGCAGCAACTGGAAGTATGCGTGTCGATGCTTTACAAGCGTGTGGGGGGAAGAAAGACCGTTTCAAGCAGAACGTGGTGGGACATTTGATTGAAACGAGATTTGGTGTGAAGGGAGGCGGACCTGATACCACTACATCCGCGAAAGATGAGGATGGTCTGACGGCACTCCGACTTACACGTACAGCTGGTAAAGAGTTTCGGTTCTTCCTCTTTACCGATGTGCTGTGCTGGTGTAGAGCAAAGGCTGGCTCAGACGGCGAACATGACCTAGTACGAGGCATCAATATTGTGCCAGGGGATGAGGATAGTATTGAAATGATTGAACTTACGGCAGGACATTCAGTCAGTTCATCAAAAGATAAGGTGAAACACGAGGCTGTACTAAGAGTGCGCGATCGGGAATGTATTGTTTATATACGTGGAAGTAATGAAGGCATTCGAGGATGGATGGAGAGTATCAAAGAGGGTAGTCACATTACTGGATAGAGGGGTGTACTCTGTATGTAGGGGTTTAGTTAAATTCAAAATTGATATGGTCCAGTCCTGAGGTTGACATATGCACATTTGTGCTCTCGCTACCCTACTGTAGATTATCGGACATGACTGCTATATGGGTTGCCCATGCTTAAGCTTGCAATGTCAAATGGTCAATACATAAATACCACATAAGAAGCTAGTTTCTAAGGGTTGTTATTGGAGGCCAAATGCGCAAAATGCGCATTCAAGGCTACAGTCGCAATGTTTTTGAACCACAAAGACATTTTTGGTGTTGGAGCTCCAGTATGGTATTTGATATTCTAGGCAATTTTGTGATCTGAAGCGCAGCACTGTTCGAGCGCGCGCCATTCGGAAGCAAATGCCAAATCTCATTAGCTACAAACAGCAGGCGAACGATCAATGTCAAAAGCCTGCGTATTATACGCCTTGTTTCCCCAATCTCCAAACTGAAATTGCGTTGATGCTCACGATTTCGTCAATATTTAGGCGCTTCGCCCCATCAACCAAACTTTCCCTTTACTTTTTAACAAAACAAAGGCAAAATAACAAAACAAATCGCTAACATCCCAAAAGCCTTTTCCCCCTGTTGCCCCCCCATCTCTCCTCCAGTCCCATTCTCCAACCACCACCTGACTGCTTGAGGAGGCGCGTTGTGTAGGTTTCGTCCCCCCCACAAATATCCCACTTCAAGTGAACAGTGGCACAGTCATGTTATTAGTGTTCCAAACTGCTTCCTTTTGGGCTTAAAATCACAGGTACACATTTCATCAGCAGCCCCCCTTCTCCCATTTCTAGTGTGTTGTGAGTGTGTGTGTTGTTGTCGCTTATAAAAAGGAGATGGCTTCGCTTCCCCCCCAGCAGAGGTCAACCACGTCGTCCTCTTGTTGAGTTTTTTCATCCGCTTTTTCCTCATCGATTTCGCTTCGATCTCCCTTTGAATTCCTTTCAAATATCACAGTTTGCTGACATGAGGTATGTATTAGTCACACGCTTTGCCGCTTGCCCGCTTGACAGCCACATAAAGGACTGGGCTGAATTGTTATGAGCAGAATCGGTGCTCACCTCAAGGCAAACCCACCATTGGTCCTTCTTGTCGGCGCAGTCGGCGCAGGATTGGGCGCTGGGGCCTTTATGGTAACGGTGAGTAGTGTGTTGCCTGCGCAGAGTTGCCTGCAGGTAGTAGCTGACGCTTTCGACGTAGCATTTTCTGCGAAATGACCCCACTGTTGTCCTAACGAACAAGAAGGGCAACCCATACCCTTGGCTCCACGTTACGCCTGACAAGAACCTCAAATTGTATGCTGTGAACCAAAAGGTAACGATAACTTGTTCTCATGTAGTATTTCTGCTTTATTGAAACTGACGTGCGTTTGTCGTTGTGCAGTTTGACAAGTTGGAAAGACCCAAGGTTTTCTAAATCGATGTGGAGAGAGGTTATGATCTCGAAATTATACAAAATGTCATTGCTCATTTAGTTGCTCGAAAATTGCTTGACAAAATCTTTAATTTGACAAGAATAAAGTAGATGCAAATCATTCCATTTTGGTGTTGCATTTTGAGAGTTTCCTCTTTTCTTGCAAGCGTTCGTTCTGACACAATTTCATACCTTTGGCGGGGAAATGGAATTGAAAGTCACAAACGGTTGCCTTAAAGACTAGCACTCTTGCAGTTACGTTTCTTTTTGTAGTGCCTTCCGAGACTCAATGTTTTTCAGTATCATCCATTTTGAAGTTAGGTTAGCGAACCTGGTGGTCAGCCCAGTAACATTGTTGTTTTCCCTTTACTGTAATTCCCTTATATCGTCCATCACCAGCCCCAATAATATCATCCCAGAGGCATCGCCGACGTTATTCGTCCCTGCATTATTTCTCTCGGCCTCGCGTTGGATTTACCATTATTTTAACTTTATAGTAATTAGTCAATAAATTTTGCTAATGACTCACATGTCCTTTGCGTATTTTTATACCGGTTTGCTTGAATCTGGACATTTGCCAGGTTTGCCTGCATTTAAGGATAACAAGTCGACCTCTGTAACAAGAAAACAGGATAGATAGAAAACTGGGTATATATTCTGACGTTTACCACAAAGTAGGCGCAACGGCCGTGTAACTTTTACTTATTGCATCCTTATCTAGGAAACCTCTTGAGAGGATATCGCGGCACTTTTCATCGCTCCAGCCGGAAGAACGGAACCAACATTGGCGGAACCCCCATGCCTGTTCAACGATTCGTTTGGAGCTGCGCCGCCACTTGTCGTTGACCGGGTCAAACCAACAGGATTGCCACCCGATCGCAGAATCGTACTGGGGCCTCCAAAAGCTTTGGAAACCGATGGTTCCGAATCGCTATTGTCGTCACTGTCGCTTCCTTTGGTGCTACTTCCCGATAGGTTGAAGCCGACTTTGACCAGTTTGGGCCCGAAAATGAGGCCAATAACTCCTGTGACAGAGACAAAGATACGGACCGAGTAGAGTATGAAGCCTATATCTATTAGTGCAAAGGTGAGGAGTCAGTCAATAGATCCTGTCCAAGTTATTTGGCTGAGAAGGAATACTTACTGGCACCTGTGACAACCGTTCTCTGTAAAACCTCTAGCGAAGTGCACACAAACAAAAAGTTGTAAATACTAAGCCCGATATACTGTGCTTCGTTATACGCGGATGGAGTTCCTCGCATACGGAGGGCGACATAAACTCCCCAAAGTAGAATTGCTAGCTCGACTCCCAGTATTCCCAGCTGAATTTTCCCCTGCTCGCATGCCAGATATTCGTCCACGTGAGAGATGTCGATAGTTTGCGAGATGATGTCCACCCGAACGGGAGAAACGATGGTCCAGACGATGAGGTAGCAAACGAGGACGGAAACAAGTATAGAGAGGTACATGAGGAGCTTACGGTCCGTGAGTGGCGAACGGGACATGAGCTTGTGAGGTTTTGATTTGAAGATGAGGCCGACGCGGTAGGCTTTGAATAAGAGACCTTGAGGTTTACAGAGTTGACATTAGCGGAGAACAAAAAGGCGGAATCTATCTCCAAAAACTTACTTCCAAACAAGAGCCCAAATCCGATATGGTTTAACCACTCGGACGCCATGCACGACAGGGACGAGACCGAGAATCTGACCGGCACCGCAAGGTACGATAATACGGCCCCGAGAGCAATCAAGTACAAGAATGTCGGAGAAGCGGCAATAAACACCTTTGACTTCCTCTGAACAAAGGCTACGACCCCAATTACAGCAGACAGAGTTGCCAATAACGCTGCAATGACCGTCATAGCCAAGCGAACCGTCTGGTCCACCTCCCTTTCATTGTACACGATGTTCACGAAAGTGCATTGTGCAGCGCCGGTCTGCCCGTTGGTGGTTGTCCCAGTTGGGCAAGCTTTACAGGTGGAACTTGCAGGATCAGAGTAAGTTTCTGCTGCGCAGGGAACACAGCTGACGGACCCCGTATCCGATGCAAATGTTCCAGCTGGGCTACAATGTTCAACATATCATGGATGAGGCACGTTCAAGAAATCCATGATCACAAGCAAATGGTACACACCATGCCTCAGGTTCCCATCCTCCGTTGAGTTTTACAACGTACCCTGCTGGCGCGTGTTGACACTGGGTTGCGCCAGCTGTGAAACTGAATGACCCTGGTGGGCAGGCTTCGCAGGTTTTTGTTGCGTTTACGTACACTGTCCCGGGCTCGCAGCTATCAGATCCAAGGGAAAGATGTGCCACTGATGAGAGGGAATATACACGTATCAGTTATCTATGTTACTTGACGAAAACCACCAAAGACATAACTCACCCGTATCCATCTGCAACCAGAACTTATCCATTCCACCCACCACGAACAACGACGTTCCAACACGACTAGCCTTGGCAGCCATAGAAGGAGTCGTAACGGGATCATTGTGGCGTGCGACGGGAACGATATCGTTGCTGTCAATTTCTTGGACATTGTCAATGGACAGATGGGAGAAAGTTTGGGTGGTGACGTTGTAGAGCCAGTGATCGGTTTTGAAGACGCGATCTGGTGGTCGTTTTGTGAGTGAGGAAGACATTCGATAGGAAGGGAGTGGCCGGTAACTTACATTTTCTAGGGTCAGGATCAACGTTTGAGACACCTCCTCCAAGAACGATACTGTCAAAGTACGGAAACGCGTAGTGTTCGCACCGTGGTCCAGGTGTTTCCTTCAAGCAGAAAAACAAACTGTTTACAACCAATTTTACGCACGCATTTCCGGATATGTTCTTACCGATCCGGCCAAGTTCGGAAAGACCACGTTCATTGCCACCCACTCCTTTGTTTTTGGCACAATATGATTCACATCCACCATCCGCATCCAGTCCTGTCCTTGTCCGCCCACAACGATCAGTGCTCCTTGCGAGGCAACCCAGGAGGCTGTATGCCAAGCCCGTGCAAAAGGCTTGGCGCTGAGAGTTGTGGGAGTGTGCCATTGCTTTGTGGTCAGGTTGAAAGCTCGGATGTCGTTGTAGAAGGAAGTCCCGTCGTACCCACCTAGTACGTAAAGATGTGTGAGCGAAGGTGAGACCGGCAATCTTCAAACACTTACCAAACAACACAACCAGATCCTCTGAAACGGTTGTCAGCGAATGTCCCCAGCGGGCTCCGACCGATCCATTGACAGATTGCCATCCCATGGGCCTCTTACTCGTGTCTAGAATCCAGACATCGTCCAATGCAGAGAGATCCTCGCTCATGCCGCCGTGAAGAACAAGAATGCTGTCGGATTTTCCCGCAGCGGTTAGGGCTGGGTGATATCGTGGCGGAGGAAGAGGCCCAGTTAGATCTGCGTTAATGGATTTCCATGTTCCGTGAGTTCCCAAGTTGGGGTAGAAGAAGAAAAGATCATTGCTCATCATGTATCTATTGAAAGTGATGATTGTTAGTTTAGCATTCGGTGGGCTGTTAACTTCCTGCATTCATTACCTATCTTCCTGGCCCCCTAAGAAGCGAGACGAAAAAGTGGATGAATAAACCAAGCCATTGCAAGAATCCAAAAATCCGTAACTGGTCAAAGAACCTACCAAACAGCGCAATGACCGAGTGATTCAACGTCACCATTCCATGGCCCTCCCTCGGGGCGACCCAATCGCCAGCAGTCTCATTGAACGCTGAAAAGGAGAGCTGAATAGCCGTGATTTGCACCACGGCGCTTTGGAGCACCAGTGCCCATAATGCCGCCGCGAGATATATACGACCGTACATCTCGCTGACTACTTTTTCTCTTGCTGACTTATTGGATATTGAATTGTACGCGATTGAACTTTAGGTATAACAATCTTTAATTTTGTGACATGGAGGGAGACGAGTGTAGGCATTAAGCTAAATAACACCCACTATTCCTACATTCGGCGCATTCGGCGAGATCTGATACGCTGGACAGCTTGGAGCATCTTGTTGTGTGAGGCTTGTGGGTGACAGTTTTTCTTTGTATGGATGCCTCAGGGAGACAACCTTGAAAAATAAACTAAAGTGGTCTGATGTTTTTTTCATTGTTCAATTGGCGCCTCTTGTTCGTTTCCATCTTTCGATCGTCATGTGAGGACGACTTGAAGGTTTCTGGTTTAGAAATGTGAGAAGGCGGCCCTTGTTCTGGAATTGAACAAGCAAACAAGTCCCTATATCATCCAGTGGCTCATCACCTAGTAGTGGGGCCTACTGTGCTGTTTGGTCAATCCTTCAACCAAGATATGTCGGACCACTTACTCCGAACATTTGTTGGGAGTGTCTTGTATTTGGTAGAAGCAACCTGTCAAACAGGCGCCAGCTTTTCAAATGAAGCGCCTTCCAGATGACGAAACGCCCGCTGAGTGCAAGTCCCCCAATTTCGCTCCAAAACCCAAACGAAAAATAAAAACATTTTTGTTAGTGATCTCTTGGTTCTCTTGGTATTCTTGCTGTATTGTCTGGCGCTCTTTGTAAAGACACCAAGGTGCTGTCTACAAAAAGAAAGTCCGCCATTAACATCGGTTTAATAAACTTGGCTGCACAAACAGAAACCCCCATGGTGTAGCTAGCCACCCTCCGTTATAACCCTAGTATACTTCATTGAGTTCGGTATGGAAGGGTGCTGTTTGTTTGTCGGACATCCTGTTGTTAGCTAGGTTTTGTTTTGTTTTGAAGGTTTCTGGCGCGTCCCTAATGTCCCCCAGGATTACTTGTTGGCAGGTATATGGGAGGCAAGATGCAAATAACATTGAGGCGACAAAGATGATCCAGAATGTAAGGAAAAAAGAAGCTACAATCCCTTTGGTCCCTATTTTCTGACATTTGAAGTTGTTTGCACACAAAGGCGTGGCGACGAGAATGCATTTTTGAAAGGAAACTTGGGTGTATGTTCTGGATGCTTCGTTATTGGGAGGCAGTTTGCTTTGTTCTCCTTTCATTCAAACGGGGAACATAACAAATACATCTGCAATGATTCTTGAGTAAGATGTCAAAGTCAGCTGGGGATCTCATCACAAGCATTGTCGGAGTGTGTGGCATTCTGCAAGCAAACTTATTTGGATCTAACACTAATCAAGCGAGCGTCTCCAGCAGGGATAGACCAAAACAAGTAGTGTCCCCAAGTGGAATAAAAAGGAACGCAAGTTCTCCAGTAGAGTTTGACGACAAGGTGTTTATTGCAACACCGTAGAAAAAACTATACCCAAGGCAACAAAAGCACAAGTTTGATCCAATGTATACCCTACCGCTCCTGGGCCTCTTCACCACCTCCCTTCTCCTTTCTACACCCTCAACTCATGCTGCTGGCCAAGATGTGATCTCAAAATGGCTCGAGGAATTCCGTCCATCTGTCCTCTCCGTTGACCAACAACGCAGCGAACTGGAATGGTTTCAGCGCGTCGCAGCAGAGCGCGGTTTGCAGGGTGTCACCGTCCAATCAACCGCCGAGAGTATCACAATCCACAGTTATGAAAGTGATACTCTTGCAAGAGCTTTCAGCGATATAACAGGCATCAAAGTCAATCATGTTATTATGGATGAAGGAGTAAGTTTATGCTTCGTGTAGCTTGGTCTTGGTGGATATCCTTTGATTGACCGCGCTTTTATGTAGAATCTTGTGAGCACCATCACAGAGCAAATCCGTACAGGAAAACGATACTTTGACATTTATGGTAAGTGTTTGCCCAAGTAACCTTCATCCATACAAGAGTCTTACGATGTTCTTTTACTCAACCAGTTCATGATGCCGACTCGAACGGCTTTCATCTCCGTTCACAACGTCTGCACACGATCGCCAACAAAATCGGAGTGGACGGCAACGGTGACCCAATCTACGAAATGAACCCACTCCTCGCCCCAGTCACCAACATGACCAACCTTGATTTGAACGATTGGATGAACATTTACTTTGGCTCGGATTTGGACGGGAATATTATTCAATTGACGGATCAGCAGTTTGTTAACTTGTACTTTTATCGGTATGATTGGTTTACGGATACCGGTGAGCAAGAAATGATCCCTTTCGTACCTGCAAGATGTAATCCTAACTAACTTTCATTCCCAGATATCAAGAACGTCTTCAACGATACGTACGGCTATACCCTTGGTGTCCCCCGTACCTGGAAAAGCTACGAGGACATTGCCGAAATGTTTCGCCACCGCTGCCGCTTCCTGAATAGCGACGATCTCATTCCTAAATGCATTCGTCCAAGCGATACGCCCCCGGTTGGATGGGATGGTGCTCGTTCAGTCTACGGACACGCCGACTATGGTGCCATGTCTACTCTCCAGATCCTGGACGGAAAGCTCGGATGGAAATACTTGACCTCGTTTTATGGTGGCCCTGCTGCAATGAGCTGGAGGTATACGGATGCCTGGTTTTCAATGGCCGGAAGTGATGATAAAGGGTTGCCAAATGGTGGAGTAAACGGAACCGGTGTCGATGACTGGGGTATCAAGGTGGTGAATCATGTTCCCATCGGTGCTTCTGTCGAACGCGGTGGTAAGTTAGTTTGCATCATTGTCCCATAATGAAGATATGGAGCGTAATGCACCTTTCCTTTGTCTTTTTTATAGGTGCAATGAACTCATATGCAGCCGAATACGGTCTCAATCGCTCTATTGAATGGATGTTCAACTACGCTCCTTCTGCTGCCTTGGACTGGGACTTTCTCACAGCGGGCTCCAAGCCCGCACGAGGGGACATTGCCCAAATGATCTTTGAATACACTCCCGACCTCGCCAAAGACTATTATAAATCCATTTCCTCCCCCGTCGTCAACTCCAATGGCGAATTGAGGTGGAGAGTTGCCCCGTCCCCTGTGGGACGATACTGGGATCGCGGCATGAAAGTTGGATACCAAGACAGTGGTGCATGGAGTATTCCAAAAACGACAAAGGGAAAACAGTTGGAGGCTGCATGGTTGTGGGCACAGTTTTGCGTTTCAAAGACTGTGGATTTGAAGAGGTTCATCGTTGCTGGAACGCCCATCCGAAAGTCGAGTACGTTGATTATTTTCACACTTTGGCTACTTGTGATAAAACTCTTAAACTACTTTTGCTGTTGTTTGACTTTATAGCTATCAATGCCAACTACGTGAGCGACCGTATCAAATTCTGGGGCGGCCTCGTTGAGTTCTATCGTAGTCCATTGAGACATTTATGGACAGGTACGTCACCACTGCCTACGCAACCTCAAACCATTACTGTTATTTAACCTGCCACTATCACGTCCAGACACTGGCACAAATGTTCCTCACTATCCCGCTCTGGCGCAAGTATGGGCTCCGAACTTGGCCAAAGCCATGGTATGGGCCAACGGCACAGAAGAGGGTCGCGCTGTTGGGTATACCCCTCGCCAGGCCGTTGATGGTATTGCCCACGATATGGATATCCTCATGCAGCGCATGCGGTTTAATCTAAAGTCCCCCAACCTTGCACCCGTAAACACGGATCAAAGCACGTACTATGCTCATGCACCTGATGTCTCGCCAAAGGCGGAACGGACAGAAGCCTACGACGTCAAGTGGACGATGGAATTGAATATGACCGAGAGTTACCAGGCATTTTTTGATAGATACATGCTTTGCATGGCGCCTGGAGATGCTGCTTGCTCTGCCTGAGGTTCTTGATTGGATGCATTCTTTATGACTTGTGTGGTTTCGAATAGTATTTTATACCAACGTCACCGTCTTGAATCTTATTAGGCAACGTCTGCAGTTCACAATTTTACATTATCCGAACCTTCTGATCAGTCCCAGGAAAATGAATGCCTATAGATATTGCCGTCACAAATCTTTCTACTGTCAAACTGTCAAACAGCCAATAGCTTGAACTCCACTTTTTTCAGTAACCATGCTTATATAATTTCTGGCTCAACAAAAATACTATCCCCTCCTCTTGAAGTCTGCCAGGTGCCGCCCGCCCTCCTTTTCCTCCCTCTTCCTCAGTTTAAAAAGTTACCTCCACTCCAAAGATTTAATACTTCACAAGGGGTAATACTCGCTAACTCTCGTGTGGCCCACCTCTCTGTAATATTGAATAGCAAACGACATTAATGCATCGAGTTGTCCACAAGAAGCAGCTTGGTCGGGTGATGCTGTGACCATAGTGTGAACATGGCCGTCTACCTCAACCGCCCGCTAGAAACTGAGAGCCTTTATCAACTGAACTGGCGTAGCTGAGCGAGACTAGTCCAACCGCTATTCTTCACGCCTGTAGCTTTCCGTGTCCACTTGTAGAAAGCATATCCTACCATTGGATAAAGGAGCGGCAGTGTCCTTTTAAGCGGCTATCATTAAATCAGTCACAAGTGTCTCTGGCGTTTCTGTCAAGCACAGCTGCTATATCTTTTCAAAGGCAAAAACGTTGCAGACGTAACATTATATATATACACAAACCCCACGCAGAACCTTCTAAAAAGCGGCCCGATTTCTCACATCTTCAACCTTCTTTGACAATTCACTAACAGTCCTATCCATATCCTCCGCAATCTGCCGCTTCACTTCATTCGGAAGGAGGTTAAACTGCTCGCACAGGTCACCATCAATGACGTTGCGTACGGGAATGTAATAGGATCGGTAGGCAAGGTGGTCCCGTCCACAAAGTGGTGGGAACTTATTGCGCATGTGCATTTCGAGTTGCTGGAAGAATTCAACGTCCTCCTTGGATTGGAATGGGATCAAGCAGCCAATTGTACCGAGAAGGGTTGTGTACACGATGATTTCTCGGCCACCAGGTACTATGACAGTTTTGGTAACAGAGGTAGGGCTTTCGCCAATGAAAAAATCTGCAGCGTGCTCCACCTGTTATAGTAATTTCAGCCCATCAGTATCGGTACCATACATTGACTGTAGAGCATGACACACGAATGCACAGACCTTATGTGGTGCCCCTTGCAAGTAACCCTTCTCATATACCAATTTATTTCCTGTTGGGTCCTCATCCACCTCTTCAGATGTTTCCGCAGGTAACCTGTCAATAAAGATATTCCCAAACTTGTCTCCACCGGCGACGGTATCATAATCCACCATGGTCGTCGCCGTAATCCAACGCGGAGTTGTATCGTCGGCGAAAATTACTATTCGGTTGTCAAAGTGTCGGTAGGACGCAAAGTGTACAGATTCTTGCACGTCTCCTACAACGATGCGGTCGCCTTGGGTGTGCAGCGTTAAGATGTTGTTTGGGAATTGCTGTTACATACAAAGTGTGAGTGGTTACGAATGGAAAATACCGGGTACCTGCTCTGGGAACATACCTTGTTCTCACACTTGCGGAGTAACTTCTTCTTGCCCAAGTCATAAATACGAAGTATTTTGCCCATTCCAACCAAAAGTCTTCCTTGGAACGCACATAGCGCGTAAGGGACATCGTCGATCGGCGTCTGCAAAGGACTGACGATCAGTCTCGTGTTCCCATCCATCCATGTAGAAATACAAGATATACCTTATGGAGAAGCTCCAATGCGTTCCCACCATCCACAAATCGATATGTATGAAGGAACCCGCTGGAACACGTCTTTGGTGAAAGGGTGACATCCGCTGCCGTCCCCACAATCAAAAACGCCTCGCCCTTTTGACCATGGAAGATACAAGTGGTGATACTGCGAGGCACAGGGTGAGACATAGCTCGGCATGCATCCAAAACACGTCTATTACTCACCTGAAAGCAGCTTCATTGTTATCTAATTCTAATAGATGCGCCGTCTCGCTGGTCATTGAGTTGAGTATCCGAATGCATGAGGCCCACTTTCCGGCCTCGGCTCGTGGCAAGCCAAACTGTTCTGGAGGCAATTCCTCATACTCTTCTCCTTCGTCCATTTGATCGGCCTAAAATCATCAAGCCTTAACATCAACTTCTAACTGTTGATCTAAGAAAAGCAGAAGAAACCATGAAACTCAACCTTTTCGGCGATTCGTTTCACCTTATCCGATGGACACCAGGTGTTGTGCTCTGATTCAATGATGACGAAATTACCGCTGGGCTGGTGATAAATGAATCGTCTTGGAGTATATTTCAACGGGATAATACTGTGATTGAAGACGGTGCTGAGCTTTTCCACCGTAAAGATGCTAGCAAAAGCAACAAACATCAGCTCAATCCTAGATACTCTTGCAAGTTCACACTCATACGCACTGTAGATTGTTTGATTCGATCGCCACAATGCCCTCAGGACATTGTTCGGAACAAAAGCTTGAACCATACTCAAGCATAGGAGCACTGAATTTGCAAAATTGAACCGCATGGCACGTTAGTTGCCCATTTCCATCCTTACCAATGTGCATCGCACCAAACTTACGAAAGGGGTATCAGCTTGGTCCTGGATTGATAGGTGAATGATAACCAGGGACGGCTAGACAATGCTAGGACCGCAGGTGAGCCTTGAATTTGAACCTTGAACAATTTGACGGGACGCGATCCCAAGAACCGAAATCGTGTGTCGCTCAATGCACCCGTGATACTATCGACCGTAGTTCGGAGAAGTAATCCCGATTGCAATCCAATATTTAGGTACAATGTGCCTGTCGCCGTTCCCGTGTCACTCATTTCCACCAACGCAAGTGACACTGGCATATAGCTGACCGCCTTGCCACATATATAAGAGTTTTGCATTGAGAGAAGTCACGAGAGGCTACTTTACATACCTGCATTCCCAGTGATTGCAGACAGTTATCGGGATCCAATGAGAGGATTCGCACGGTGTTATCCTCACATCCGACCGCCTACAATGCAGCGGTTGGGAAGAGCCACGCTTTGTTGGAATAGCATAATGCACGTGTACATACCAAGAATCCGGACCTCTGTCGCCCTTCCGGAATAGGACCAATACTCAGGGCAGTGATCGGAGCAGCCATTTCCTTTCGATCCTGGAACTCGTTAAGCTGCCCATGTGAATCCAGCTCAAAGTACACCACCTCTCCGCCGGACAGGGCAATAACGACCTGCACAGAACCATCAGCAAGGGGTCAAAAGACAGCGACGGCAGTCGTACATACCTGCTTGCGATTACATGCCGCTCTCACGATGGTCTTGTTACCTGGCGCCTTCCACTCACTCACACGCCTGTCAGCGCGAATGTGCCGGATACCACGAGGATAGACCTACCAACTCACTGTAAGATTGTACGAAACTGATCATATCTGACCACTTTAAACATACCTGTACCAACGCATCCTCACCAAGCTGTGCAACAGTCAAGGTTGGAGTGCTATTCAGGAAACCTGTATCGGTGACTTCCTCAACCGTCTCTCCGATGGACAACACAAGGGTGGCGTCGACAAAGGAGACAATGATAAATGAATCAAATTCCTCTGAAAAAACAGTGATATTAGATTTACGCAAGAATGCATCACTGCGGTGTCATGTCCTTCCATCATCACTCACCTTGTGCATTGGCTTTCACTGTCCAAACCGCATTTGGATTGCCGGGTAGCTCTGATACCGCCATTTCAGATACTTCTAACCCATGGCGAAGGATACGGAATGAAGAACGTGCCCCTCGACCGCAAAGTGCGTAGATCTGTGGGCTATCGTCCTCGGCCAAGTTCAAGACCTTTGCATCTATTAGTGGTGATATCGATTCCAGTTCATCCACGATGGCAAGATTCCGCAAGCCGCGAGGATTGAAGTATACAATCACTTCATCCGCATCATCACCCTGGGGAAGCTCAGCACTTTGGTACTCCATCTGCGCTTCATCATCATCACCTAGGTTTTCAATCTGGTACAGGTAACTGAAGAACAAGTGTCAAAAAGTTGCTGGGGAGTCATGCATCAATCGCTCAAGAGAACTCACTGATTCGCAAATTCGCTAGCAACAAACAAGAAACCAGTCTTCAGCAAGCACATGTTTGTTGCTACTGGAATAGTGTCGAAATATTTGATCTTCAAGTTTTGAATCCCACCAATGACGCCATCGGCCCCCGCTGTGTAATCCATCGTGATTTTGAAAACGTCCCCATCCTCAGTTTGCGCCAAAATGAAGAACCCTTTCTTCAACTTGTGCATGACACTGGATACAATAATAACCCCTCGGCCCATCTCCATGTCTTCGCCATTTGCCGAAGGAGAAGATAATAGAGGGTCGGGACGTCGAGGAATTGGGACACGAACTGACGGATAGTCTTGGTGCCTCCATGTAATGTAGTTTTCCGAACATACCAACACTCCACTCGGCCCGTCCACACCACCAGGTACAGGAATGAGCTTGTTAGAACGAGGATCTATTGGATCACTCCATTTTCGGACAACGTGGTTAAGGCCAAGATCCAGCTCGTAGTAGGTAAGCACCTAAATGACAAGTAATGAGAAATGATTCCAATCATTTGTCAACAACGGAGGTGTGATCTCACTTTTTCGGCGTTTTGGAATGCTTCGCCAGTAGGATCCTGATCCACATCCGAATAATCCACCTCGATGCAGGCAAAAACAGGATTCTCAAATCCAACATCAACTCCAATAAGGTCGTGTACAAGAGTATGTGACTTGTGAGCTTCCAGCGGTGACGAGATGGTCAATCGGGTAGATGCATCTCGGTTCAAAATATACACCAGCTTCTGCTTCTCGATGGCGCCAATCATCACAGCTCTCCCTTTTGGATCGGCTGCAAGGTATTGTCCAGGGACAATTCGACGACATCCACTCTTTCCATATGTTTCCTCATGAACGCGGTCAAACGTGTTTTTCGCCGGATTGTACTCTAGAATGACGATTCTGCCGGAATCTGATCCCACCACGATGTAATCTAAACCACAAGCAAAACAGTTAGGATGCAGAGTCAAATTGTACGTGTGTCAGCTACGAGCTCATAATGTCATGGAACATGCAAATCCCATGTTCATCAAGGCAGTATCGTTGCCAGAAGATGTCACACACCTTTCGAGCTCCCAGTTAACCGAAACGGTACTACAGACCGAATGATTCCAAAAACATTGTGAGTCAGCAGGGAGTGAACCTTTCCCGTCGAAGGATCTGGTTGTAATAACTCCAAGACAGAATTTCGAGCGACCAGAATCTCCTGCTGCTTCGTTCCCGCAAAGTTCCCAATCACCGCCTGGTTGATCCCCGTTGTCTGCTGCAGAGTGACGTTGTACAGAAACATGTCTGCTGTGGGGGTCGAAACGGGATGGTGGAGTTGAAGGAAGACGGTTCAGTCAACCGGATTGTAAAATACTCAGCGCACGATCTGGCGAGGTGCAAGTGAAGGCGGCAAGGGATCCGAGGAACTGCTAAAGTGGAATGCCAGATCGTTTTGTATCGACCTTCCAAGGAGAGCAAGGCAGCTGTTGCCATGGAGTTGAATGGTGGCACAGGCATGTACGACTAAGCCTGACGTTCATTCGCACTTCACGCACTTTTGGCCTGAAAGGCTTCTTGGAATGGAGGAGATGCCCATCTCTAACATCTTTGTCTGTTCAACATCTGTCATCATCCTGCGCGCCAGCTTGAGTATTAAACTAGGGCATCCGAGACTGCTGAAATGTGCACAGCCATTGTGCAGATTGCAAGCTGGTCAGCACAGCAACGTGCAAAACTTGAGACGTTCAATACACCAAAACATCGCTAGCCATACTTGTCTTGAGCTTGTAAAGGTGGTATCGGCTAGCTTGCCATGTAGCGTTCTGGAACAGGGACGGCGACATCTCTGGATGGCAATCAGGTGGCTCAGCTGTGGCTTGGACCGCCGGTGAGACTTGAAGGTGGATTGGATAAGCATCATGTCCCCCAACCATGCTATCCCGCACCGGACGAGGAAGAACACCAGGCACATCACACGGCGTGCAAGAGCGCTTTGCATTCAAGTATCTACGTTTTCGATGCAAAGATGTTCAGAAAACTATCGACTTCTATCAAAATCTGGGCATGTCCGTCGACTGGCAGACAGATCAAATCTCTTATCCTGCTGCTGCAGACAAGGACCGACCGACACGGGACAAGGACAGGCGAAAAGAGGAAGTGCCACCTGAGGTCAAGATCACAGAAAAGGCAACTGTAGTTGCATTGTCGTATCGTCCAACAGGCAAGACCACCAACGCACACAATGTCCAGCTCATTTTCGAAAAGGTCGTGTCGGGAGATCAGGTAGAGGAACAATCGCCACACGAGTCGCAACGGAGTTCCATGGATCATTTAGCATCTAATCACGGAAAGCCAGGGCGTGTTCCCCACAACTATGAGTACCTCGTCATCTACGTCCATTTCGTGCATCGTCTGGCAAAAAGGTTGTCCATCAAAGGCTTTGAAATTGTCCTAGCACCACTGGACATTGCCGAAGTCAAAATGTGCATCACACGGGATCCGAATGGATTGGAGGTGCGGTTAATGGAGTTGACGGATAGCCAGCTGAATGTCCCATCCACAAAAAAGCAGTGGTATGCTCGTTTGGGGTACTATGCAATACCGACACTTCAAGCCGATGCATCTGTTCGGTGGTATGAAACCATTCTTGCTTCACATCGAACAAGAACGGCGCAAGGACAGAGAATCACAACTTTGGACCTGGCTATACAACGGACACCTCGATCGGGTGGTAGTGGGGGAGGAGATATAGGGACATTACTGGGTATACCCGGTACACCCGATCGTCCAATTTCACGCAAAAAGCCTGGAGCCGCTGCAACGGTGCGACAGGCTATTAGCCAAGGGCAAGGTTTCCGTCTTGTGGACACGGAAGACTTTATCGTCGGTCTCTCCCGGTCGGTTTATTACTGGCTTGGAAACGACTTGCGCTCGGCAACTTGCACCGTCTGCTTTACCGAACATGCCGATTTCGGGTCAGGCACAACTCAAGGTGGATTTTACGATCGAAAGGGTTCTAAACTTTTGGGTCTCGGTTTCGAGGTTCCAAATCTGGACGCAGCCATAAACCAACTCCGCTACGAATTCAAAGAGGATCTAGAGTGGGGTCACTGCCGATCGCGGATTCAAGGCATCGGAACGGTGTCGAAACTGTACGATAAGCTCAATAAGCTTTGGATTGAGTTACATGCGCTGAAAGGTAGCGAACGGGAGACGCCCGTCAGAAGTCCCAATGCCCCTTCTGCGGAGACGACCGAAGATGAGACGGGCAAGCGCGGACGAGACCAGTTTGCCATTAATTTCAGTCATTTGTCGGGGCAGGCTCGAACACTTTCTGAAGGTGCCATTTACCGACTTCGCAAACCAGAGGATGTCGATATCAATCTCGGTGCCCCCGCACCGCCTCAACCCACCACTGGACTACCCGTCCGCGCCCAATCGATATCTCTCTCTCCTTCGACCAGTGAAGAATCCATTAGCTCTTCCTTATCATCTCTACATATAATTGACGGAGATATCGGTAGCCAGGACCTGCTGAAACCAAAACCACCTTCAACAAAAGTTCCCGCCAAGGGGGTGGCAGGAAATCTGCGGAAAAAGCCATCAAAGGCCGATCGAGAGAGATGGACGTTTTTGAGTAGGGCGAGAAGTACGTCTGCATCTTGGTGATAGAACCGAAATTATAATGGTTTCGTTTTATACATATGGCTGCATCATTAGCATTGCTTGGACATTCTTAAGTAAACAGTCTATATATGAGGCATCTTATAAAATTAAAGTAATCTGGTTGGGTTGGATATTCATACGTACGGGGTGCTCTGGACCTTTATATTCGAGGCGTGTGTTGAAGGTGAACGAGGGGAAATGACTGTCCCAAACCCACATCCTCCTCCTTCGGATGATAAACAAACGCCCGTTTCCCAAAATTAACTTCCACCTTCCATGCTCTAATCGCTGCGACAGCCACATATAACTCCCCCCAAATCCCCTCACCAGCCGTTCCCAGGAACCTTCCATCCCTCGTAAAATACACAGACCCCACCCCGGCATCATACCCACATCCCAGCACCGTACCACGCTGCACGCCAGCAAGTTCCAGATCTGTATCGTATTTGATGCCTTTTGCGAACGCTCCGTGGTAGACCCGTCCGTCATCGGTGTGGTAGCCGATACTGTGAGCATCCCATCCAATATGATGAAAGGAAGAGTAAGGTTTTGTGGCCAGGCCAAAGGAGAGAAAACTGTTAAAGTTGGGTCCAGGATCCAGTACGACGAGTTCGTAGTAAAACTGTGGCGGGATGGGTTTTGTTGAGAAGCAGGAGCGGGCTGTTGTGGAGCCAATATCTGGGAAGTGGAGTGTGTAGGGTGATGGGAGGACGGCTGAAATGTATGGGTCGGAGGGGTGAGGAAGGGGATTAGGTGCCATGACAAGGTCCGACGTAGCTGAAGTGGCATCCACGCATCTTGGCCTCGGCCACAAGCGCTTAGTAGCCAAATGTGTGGCGCCCGACATACTGTTCGCAAGCTTATACGCAAAGGGCTCTTGTCCAAGGTTTATTTGCACTTGGCAGCCCACTGAGGACGTCACGACTGGGAACCATATCTCCCGATAGTCATATGGCGTGCTAGTGATCACATACGGTGCATCACCTACCCAGAAGCCATTCAGAGTGAAAAATACCGTTGCGAGTGTGTCGCCCTGATCAACGAGATACCCACACCCAACAATATCTCCACTCTTCCATGGTGGCGCAAATTGAAAGCGTTCCCCGTCCCGATGACCGAGAGCTACAGAGCCGTCTTCACTGCAGTATCCAACACTATACGGCAAGATTCCAACAGGGTGAACAGACGAGTAGCCCTCTCTCGCTAACCCAATGCGCCATGTCCCATCGTGTGTACTTGTTACTTTGATTTCGTAGTATGCCATGGAGGGATTCGTACGTTGCTTCCACCCAATTGGCAAGACACACAGCGGCATCCCACCGACCACAGACCGGTCCCCACGGCATCGCAAGCCGCGATACACCCTATTGTACCTCACTGTTCCATTCCGCTCTTCCAAAACGGTAATCACCGAATCGTACAGCAGGTCCGATGCATCAGGACCGTGGTTCTGCGTAAACGTGACGTCAAGCCCTGAATGTGTCAGCAGAACGTCTGGATTCGCTCCGAATGCCCATCTTCGGGGAGAATTAAAGAGGAGGTACCGGAATAGACTACAGGTTTGAGACAGACGGATGTAGGTTTCCGCATCCAGGAACTCTGTCACGGCCAACAGTAACTCTGCCGGTAGGGAGGATAGATCCTGGGGGGCCATGAAGGAAGGCAGAAGCGACGCTGCAGGCCATGATTACAGCCAAAAGTCATGTGGGGTGTAGGTCCCATATCTTTTGGTGTCCGAGGAAAATCGTTTTGCTGTTTTCTGTGACAGTGTGACAGTGCAGTACCGCCGATTATGAAATACCTCCAAGCCACAGATCGTGTTCACATAAGCTAAAAACCGATGCAAGCACTAATAATAGACGGATGATCCTGAGTTTTTTACCTCACGGTGACATTCAACAGTATGTACCGTATGTCTGTCATAACAATGGCGAGGACAATATGCTCGTGCATCATACCCGCAAATGTCTGCAGGATCGCCTCGCAATGATTACTCCCTAATGCAATCTTGATTTTCTTTTTTAAAACATTTTTAAAATGTCGTTGGCCACGTCCTCCGCGCCCACTGGCCGACCTATACAAGTTAGAGAAGCAAGCATGGAAGTACAAGGCCCACACGTACCACGTATGAACCATGGCAGATGGCACCAAGATCATCTTGGGACATCTATAAACTTGGATGGAAGCCTTCGTACGGGCCCGCAGTATACAGGTGCGGTAGCTTTTGCATCCAACACATGACAGCATGTTAATTCAATGCACAGCTCAACCCAAGCAATCCACCTCCAATATCCCCATCTATTTTGGAGGACACACCACCCAGCCTCTTCCCAATGCGCATAAAGGCCCCAGCATTGCGAATGCCATCTACAGCATCCCAGAAGACGTACAAGAGCGTCGACAGGAGATGAAGAAGGAGCTAGCGCATTGGGCTGAGGTGCAGTTGAAGGAGAAGGAGGAAAGGAAAAAGATGGAAAAGGAAATGAGGAGAGAGGAAGCAAAACGGTTTGAATGGCCGTTTGATCACAAGAGAGTTATTGTGGACAAAAAGGAGGAAAGCAAAGAGCAGATTAGCAAGGTAGGTTCTACATGGGATGGATACCTGTATGTTCTGGGTCATCAATTATGCATGTCACTTCTAGCCGAATGGTCGCGTCATAGCAGACTCAAAAACATTTGGTAAGTACACTGTCTAAGACCCATTAGAAAAGACTTTAACAAGCAGCAGACGCAGCACCGAGCCAGCATCGCGCCGAGCGCCTCCGTCAGCAGTACGAAGCAGCCGTCGCAGATCAAAAGGTAAACTGGTAGACCCAGTCACCCATTTTTCAAAGGCTAAGGATCCAATGCAGGGGTTGTTTGCCGGGTTGGGCGAGGCACATACGCATGCGACGCGAATGCATAAGAGGGATGTGGGACAGGTTCAGCCGGTAAGTGTGCCGCAAAGCATTTCGCTATGAGGACCGAGTTCTTATTCTATTGGGTGAATAGCCGCCACCGCACGTTGCAATACATGAACAGGCAGGATCGAATGTCGACCCTATTTCATGGCGAGATCGGACATCCTACCCTGCATCCCACGCCAAGAAACCCAATATGCATCAAGGTAGCGTTTTCTCGCTCCAGGTTTTTCTGTGCATTTAATTTATACAGTCTTCCGTGCAGACCCAACAAACATTCTCAACAGCCTCCCAATCACATCGACAACATCTAAAACCCGTCGCGTGAAAACGGATATTGGAGCAACACCCCGAGAGGATTTTACAGATCACGGTGGGATCGCATCGCATCTACACCCCCGTGATGAAACCAACGTATGTATGTTGCATGCAACTAGGCATCCAAACTGTACTCACATTGTTTTATAGGATGTTTACTTTCATTTCGGCCGTCCTGGGGCTGGTGCGCCCCTTTTGCACCCGGTTACCCACCAACTCGACGCCCATCGCGCTGGATTGAGAAGGGATCTGAAAGTAAGCGCTGTTATTCCGAATGCGTGCAATGATATTCGGTTCTTTTATAGTCGGGCGTGAGGGGTGTGCTACTGCACTTTTGTATTGTGTCGTAATACAAGTATTTTAGGGACACTGTTGTGCTTGTTGAGGATATCGCTTTTTATCTATTTCTTACGGTGATGCTTTTTTGTAGTTGATTGACGAGTCGAGCCCTACCCGTCCGCTCATGACGCAGAGCGCGCCATTGTATGGGCAAGGATACCGACCAGAATGGACAGGTAAGGTCCTACAGATTTTTTTTTTTTTGAAGTGGCATCATGATGAGCAAGTTCCCTTTAGGACAAGACGCACCACAGCTTGGGTATGAGGCGGCGCAACAGGTACAGGTTAAATAACACTTTTGGTCATTGGCGCTTTTCCATGGATTGCTTACTCTTTGGCCTGCATCGTTCATCATCACATTAGGCCAGACTAGATCCGTGGAAATGGGGTTCTGACAACACATATCACCGTGCAAATCCCCGTCATCGATACTCGGACATCATGGACACGGTACAAACCCTAACTCCCTTGATCGAATGTTTGTCCTTCTAATTCAACGTGCACAGGGCCGACACATTGACCATCGTTCGGCGGTAGCCTACCATGCTGACTTGGATCGCCTTGTCGACGACCGTAAGCGAGCTGAAAAGCAGCAAAAGGAACAAGACGCTCATCTTGGAATGCAGGTACAAAAAGAAAGTGAATGCTAGGCAGCAATACCCAGATGGGGGCTAACACTACGCCATAGCACATTCAGTCTGCAACGACCATCACAGGTCGGTCAGAGTACTGGCCACCCTACGTCCAAGGGAAACCCCCTTCAACTTTGAAGGAAGCTGTCCAGGGAGATCGACATGTTATTTATCCAAAACCAAAGCCGGTGGGACGGAGGAGGGGAGTTTAGGAATCTGAGTATGTAGAGTTTATCGAGTACGTAGACTTTTTGAGTAGGGAATTAGGTAGGATGGAAGATCCAGGCGGGAAGTCAAGAAAAAACAAGTACAGTATCAGCAATAAACAAGTATTATTTCGTCAAAAGGGTTGTGGCAGATGTAGCCATACACATGTGCCTTACATGGGCTGCAAGGACTACTACTAAAGTACAAGTATGCAGGTCCAGATATCAAAAAAACCCGCAATACATAAACGAGAAGTTCCACACTGGACCTTGACGATATCTTCTTCGTGATGTTTAAAGTTGAAGATATTGATAATGTGTCTGTCATGTGTATACCGTACAAATGTAAATATATAAGTGGTATCTTCAGACCAAAAGCATTAGTTTCCAACGTTCGAACCAATCCAGTGCACACACACGGTTGTACAAATGCTGCATGGGTTGTACAATTACCGAATTGACTGTGCCACGTTCCTATTGGTGGAGAGAGTAGACACCCAAAGACACGTCAGACCAGATCGCCCCATTATAAAAGAGCGCATCCCTCTCGCGTTTCCCCCCAATCCTTTATCGCGTTCATTCCAGCTTTCGCTGTTGCCTCTTCTTCGCCAAAAGGAGAGGCAACAGCAAAGAGGATCGCGCACCCGCCGTCGTCTTTTCCGTCTCTCGCTGTTGCGTCTCTCGCTTTTGCGTCTCGCCTCTGGCATCACTTTTCCTTTGCATCACTCGCTTTTGCGTCTCGCCTCTGGCATCACTACTACTACTACTTGCTTTGCATCACCGCCTTTGGCATCACTCGCTTTGCGTCATCTGCTTTGCATCACCGCCTTTGGCATCTCTTCTACTACTACTACTACTACTACTACTTCTTGCTTTGCATCACCGCCTTTGGCATCACTCGCTTTGCGTCATCTGCTTTGCATCACCGCCTTTGGCATCACTTCTACTACTCTACTACTACTACTACTACTTCTTGCTTTGCATCACCGCCTTTGGCATCACTTCTACTACTCTACTACTACTACTACTACTACTACTACTACTACTACTACTTCTTCGCTGTCGCGCTCCACTACTACTACTACTACTACTACTACTACTACTACTACTACTACTACTACTACTACTACTTCTTCGCTGTCGCGCTCTCCTACTACTACTACTACTACTACTACTACTTCTTCGCTGTCGCGCTCTACTACTACTACTACTACTACTACTACTTCTTCGCTGTCGCGCTCTACTACTACTACTACTACTACTACTAGTACTTCTTCGCTGTCGCGCTCTACTACTACTACTACTACTTCTTCGCTGTCGCGCCCAAATAAACTACTACTACTACTCCATCACTTGCTTTCGCACCACACGTGACAGTGTTCTGGATTTGGGTCACGTGGGGTCACGGGGGTTACGAGGGTCGTTTCTCAACGCCACTCCGTAGTACTGTGTCGAGTATGATGGGACACCAAACAGCGGTTAATACAGCGGTTTGAATTTAATATTTTGTACTTTCTTCCATTGTGGGTTCGTTGTGGTTGCATTCATTCAACGCACTATTTCATAGCAATTGCTAAGGCGGTATGGCCATGCCATCAAACCTGGTTTAACGCATTTGTTTCTGCTGTGATCTGTCCCATCATATATTCGATACTCGTTGTACTGGCGTGATCCCACCTGATCAGACGCGTCCATAAATCAAGTATAACCCCCCAAACCTTAATTGGACACGGCCAACACTTAGACCGATTTCCTTTTGACAATTTTCACAAATATTGCAGGGTATGCATGTTAAACTAGTTTTTAATATGTAGAAAAGTAGAGGAAAACAGAGTCAATGCTGATCTTAGACTTTCCGCGTCAAGTCCGATGTTAAATCATTTATCGACGCGTCTGGTCATGCGACAGTACGTTATTTTGGGGAGTACCCGTTGTACTTGATTTATGGGATGTATCTGATCATGTGGGATCACGCCATTACCTAATGTGCTGTGCCACGTTCCTATTGGTGGAGAGTGGGTGGATTGTACAATTACCTAAGTGGATGGGTTGTACAATTACCTTGTACTGTGCCACGTTCCTATTGGTGGAGAGTGGGTGGATTTGCCAATTACCTAATATCAGTACTGTGCCACGTTCCTATTGGTGGAGAGCAGACACAATGACACGTCAGACCAGAAAATCCTCCTCTATAAAAGAGCGCATCCCTCTCGCGTTTCCCCCCAATCCTTTATCGCGTTCATTCCAGCTTTCGCTGTTGCCTCTTCTTCGCCAAAAGGAGAGGCAACAGCGAAGAAGATCGCGCACCCGCCGTCGTCTTTTCCGTCTCTCGCTTTTGCGTCTCGCCTCTGGCATCTCCCGCTGTTGCGTCTCGCCTCTGGCATTTCTCGCTGTGCGTCTCGCCTCTGGCATCTCCCGCTGTGCGTCTCTCGCTTTTGCGTCTCGCCTCTGGCATCTCCCGCTGTTGCGTCTCTCGCTGTTGCGTCTCGCCTCTGGCATCTCCCGCTGTTGCGTCTCTCGCTGTTGCGTCTCGCCTCTGGCATCTCCCACTCGCTTTTGCGTCTCGCCTCTGGCATTACTTTTGCTTTGCATCACTCGCTTTTGCGTCTCGCCTCTGGCATTACTTTTGCTTTGCATCACTCGCTTTTGCGTCTCGCCTCTGGCATTACTTTTGCTTTGCATCACTCGCTTTTGCGTCTCGCCTCTGGCATCTCCCGCTGTGCGTCTCGCCTCTGGCATCTTCCGCTGTGCGTCTCGCCTCTGGCATTACTTTTGCTTTGCATCACTCGCTTTTGCGTCTCGCCTCTGGCATTACTTTTGCTTTGCATCACTCGCTTTTGCGTCTCGCCTCTGGCATTACTTTTGCTTTGCATCACTCGCTTTTGCGTCTCGCCTCTGGCATCACTTTTGCTTTGCATCACTCGCTTTTGCGTCTCGCCTCTGGCATCACTTCTACTACTACTACTACTACTTCGCTGTCGCGCCCGAATAAACTACTACTACTACTACTACTGCTTCATGTATACTGCAGAGTGTAATAAATTGAAGTGGGACTTTGGAAGAAGTTCACCACTCATGTATATTGTATCAGTGTAAATAATTGATGCGGGACTTTGGGATAATCCGACCCAATATATCAGTTGCATTTGTACTATTGATGGATGTAATACATGTAAAGAGTCTTTTAAAACGTTCCCAAAACCTGCCCTTTGACCAGTCCCTTGAACTCTGTCCTATTATCATTGCTTCAAGTATGATAATTCAAGATCCGATAGCAGGTCGCGCCCACTCTTTACCCATTACACTCAACGAATGGATGATCCCGCCTTGTTGGAGGTAGGTGCACCAGAGGACGGGCTCGCGTCCTCGGAGGGGAAGGGAATCCAGTTCTGTTGGAGAAACAAAGCAAGCTCCAGCGCTTTCATAGTCAGGTATGGATTTGGGTGGCGGGCTAGTGGATATTGGCTAATGGCACGTTTCATAAAAAAAATGCTCGCAATGAACCCAATAACACAAGCACACACCTCTGCATAAAAGATCACTCTCATTCTCGGGTATCCCTCTCCTGGCGACACTTCGATCCTCAGCACCCCTTTTAATTCGACTTCCATCCCCGTCTCTTCCCACACCTCCCGCGTGGCCGCCTCACAGAAATCCTCACCTGGATCGACGCCCCCACCAGGAATCCACCATCCCTGCCCTGCTACCTCATCCACTAAAAGGACTTTATTGTCCTTTATACACACCACAAGTGCAAAGAGCGGCAAGCGGTGTCCGGGCTCTGTGTTGTGCGTATGAACATGTACAGCCAAAAACCGTGGGTGGGCTCCGCAGATGGGACAAGAAGATTTGCGATTAGGTTCTTGGGTATGGTAGAGGGGTAAATGGATTTGGAGGGCTTCGAGGGGAAGACATGCTGGACAGTGGGGACATGGATACATTGTATTGGTGGGTGATAAAGTAAGGAGGGTGTGGAGAGTGGAGAGAACACTGGTGAGGTGCGTTGGGATGCAAGTGATCATGTTGATACCAATCTTTTGCCATCGTGTTCTTTCTATGGCACTTTGGCTGACTTGTTCACTCCACAATATAATGAAAACACCTTTGCCCTGTTCTTTGCGAATCCGAACCGCAATCTCTTGGCATGCTTCCTTTTCGTCAGGCGCGCCATCATGCGTGCCTCCAAGCGTGAGGACAATAATATCGCATGCCAGGTTAGAGGTGGGAGATGCGAGGACCTCTGGCGTGAAATGCGGCGTGGAGAGTGATGCTGGTGCGGTTGGGTAGACGAGGAGAGTGATTGACATTTTTTGTCTTCGGGCTTCCGGAAGGGCGGAATGCCTCTTACGTGATCAACCACACCATGACAACAGAGGATTAGTAATAGCGATGACACATTGCGATCGTGTTCCCTTTGTGAGCCTTGAGGGCGTGCGGAGAAGCCGCCTCCGGAAGACCGAGGCGGAGAACTTGTGGCCGGAACACCGGGAATGACGCCGCATGCAATGGTTATATAAAGGGCAGGCAGGACCGGCCGACGTCCCCGATCATCGTTCGCTTTTTTGTTTTCAATATAGTATCTCTGACAACCAGCGACCATGCCTTCTTCTGCCGATGTCAAACCCATTCAACGCAAGCTCGGGCGCAATGGGCCCACCGTCAATGCCCTGGGATTGGGATGTATGGGAATGTAAGGTCTTTGGTTTTGACAGCCGCGTCTGTAAGGGTGCTTTTGTGACCGTGGTTTGTTCGTAATTTAGGAGCGCGTTTTATGGGCAGAAAGATGAAGCGAGGTCATTGAAAACGCTTGAAAAGGCATTGGATATCGGGTGCACGTTCTGGGACACGGCGGATATGTAAGTTTTATCTTGGTTATCATGTCCTGAGATACCTGCTTGACACCGCATGTTTTTCACCACATTTAGTTACCTGGACAACGAAGTCTTTCTCTCAAAGATTCTCAAAACCCGTCGCAAGGACGTTTTTCTATGCACCAAGTTTGGGATTCAAAGAAACGAAGAACAGATTGTGGGTGTGAATGGAAGTCCCGAATACGTGCGCCAGGCCTGCGAAAAGAGTTTGCAACGCTTGGGAGTTGAGACAATTGATTTGTATTACCAGCATCGTATTGACCCGAAAACGTAAGTTGCATTTCCATTATTCTATCGTATCCGACTTGTTGTTGACATTTGGGCTAGTCCGATCGAAGAAACCGTCAAAGCCCTCGCCGAACTGGTCAAGGAAGGCAAAATCCGATACATTGGTCTTTCGGAGTGCAGTGCAGAGACTTTGCGACGAGCGCACGCGGTACACCCCATAGCAGCCGTCCAAGTTGAGTACAGCCCTTGGACGCTCGACATTGAAACAAATGGCCTTCTCGCAACGGCCCGCGAACTCGGCGTCTCGATTGTCGCTTATTCACCGCTCGGTCGTGGATTCCTCACTGGGCGATACAAGTCTCCAGATGATCTCGACGCGGACGACTGGAGGAAAGGCAATCCACGGTTCCAAGGCGAAAACTTTTACAAAAACCTCAAACTCGTTGAACGCATTGAACAACTTGCCAAGGCAAAGGGTGTTACTGCGGGCCAGTTAACTTTGGCGTGGGTCTTACACCAAGGAGAGGAATTCTTGGCTATACCAGGCACCACCCGTGTCGAAAATTTGGAAGCGAATTGGGCATCTCAGAATATCAAGATTACATCCGAGGATGATGCTGCGATTCGCGCTGCCATCAACGAGATTGGCGTCGCAGGCCAGCGGTACGATGCACAGTCGATGACGTCTCTAAACCGTTAGTGTTGTGTAGTAGTAGCATGTAGTCACACCTATTATTCTACAGATTCATGTCATCACATTGTTCGGAATATAACACGACGGGATTTCATCTCGTGTATCATCTGAACAAGAACTTTGTTTGCATGATGGCAAGACCTGTTCTTGGAAACCCTCGGGATAATAATTGCCTTGCCCACTTTGCATGGGAGTGTTTTGTTTCATGACCCACTGGGACGTCAGATACCTTTCACGACTGGCACATCAAGGTTATTTTTACTGCCAATCACCGGGCACAGTACAGTACATTAGGTAGATTGCAATGCATTAATGCGACTAAATGCACGCAATCACTGCCCACATCTCATGAGTCACGTTAACTGGATGGTTGCAATCTCACTTGCAGTGTGCCTTGATTGAAAATGGTTGAGTTGTCTGGTGAACCAACTCCTTCATATCACTGAATCAAATCTGTATTAAACAGTGATGCAAAACTATTGACCGATGATTGTATAAAATCTCTAGAATAAATATCATTGAACAGGAATAGCTTAAATCGTAACGAGGGCAGGCATCCTTGTTGTCGCCATGTCCGTCCTTTTGATAGCATCCTAACCGCGCATTTCTACCTACTTGGCGAGGAGCAGGGACCGTGATCTTTGGGAAGTAGACGTCCATCTCATCGGAAGGGTCACGGGATGATTGGTAGCATGCATAATCCGTCGCGCATTCAAGACCGCGTGCAGAGAGGGAAGAACAGACACCGAATTATCAACATACGCACTGGAGGCTCGATGGGAGGTAAATGTCTTTGGGCAGATGAGGCCGACAAGACCACAACAACTGGTCCCGTCAGTGCTGACAAGGAGACAAGGGTCGCGATCAGAATGGTCGTTCCAGCAAGTATCACGTTCCTGTCAATGGGAGTGAAGGACATGCGACGAGGTTGGTATTTGTGGATATCTGATGACTGACAGGGAGGGAGAGCAAGGACGGGCGTTGAGGGCGAGGATAGCAAGTTTTAATTCGGTTCACTGGAAACTTCTGAAAACGTGGATGAGAGAAGAAAAATTGGGTTTATGGGCTTGTCCTTTTTGTCATTTCCGTTTTCTGTTTTTTTTATGTTTAGTTCTCTGCCTCCGCATGTGAGGTCCATAAAGCAATCCTTGAAGCGACAGCTGGAGACCAAAAGATACAGACGAAGGTGCACCCAGAGTAAGTTTGCACAAATCGAAAGTCGCAAACCAACGCAGGAAGTGAGCTGTGTCGAAATACACATGAAAAGGAGAAGGTGGCTAGCGGAAAATCCCGTTGTGTTCTTTACGATACGATGGCAGTTAATACCAAAATTACCGGAAGCAAAGCTTGGAAATCTATATAGTCTGCATGCATCACCTCCTCCATATTAAACGGACCAAATCGAGGTGGATAGGACCTGGGCAATTACTCCATCACTTTAAAAGGCAAGTAGTAGTAGTACAGCGCGACAGAGAGGTAGTCGTAGTAGCAATAGAGCGCCAAAGGCGAGTGATGCAAAAGCAAGTGATGCGAAACGTCTCTCGCCTATGGCATGACTCGCTTTGCGGCACTTGCTTTTGCATCACCGGCTTTCGCACCTCTACTTTCAGCAACAGCGAAAGCAGGAATGAACGTGAAGGAATGGGGGAGACGCGAGAGGGATGCGCTCTTTTATAATGGGGGAAATCCGATCTGACGTGTCATTGGTGTCCACTCTCCACCAATAGGAGCGTGGCACAGTCAATTCGGTAATTGACTAGTAGTAGTAGTAGTAGCAGAGCGCCGGGCACCCTAATATGAAATTCTAATGCATTACTCAATTAAGTGTGCGCAGTCACTGTCCTCTGCTTTTGCAGTCACGTTAAGGGCTTGGTTGCAATCTCAGTTGCAGTGTGTCATAAAACAGTGGTGGAGTGCTACAGTAGGGTTGTGGCGTGATCCCACATGCTCAGACGCGTCTAGTGTGTGAGCTCGTAGGTGCAGCGCACTTGACAGATATCAAAAAAAAAGACAGAAAGCCGCTACAGTACGGAAGCCTTTGCTATATACTATATGATGTATATATCCCGGTAAAGATCTTTATTTTCACTCTGTATTTTCAAACTACTGCAAGATACAACTTGGGGCTCAATTGCTGGCGGCAGAAGAAGATCACTGGGCTGGGTAATTGCTATACAGTTAATAGCCATAAGGGGACAGTAATTTGGAATGGACGTTCAGTATGTTGTGGCAAAAAAGATGCTTTAATCCTGATGAGAAAAATCAAGCAGATAGAGCAACGGAAAGTGGGCCAGACGTTTTGCGATGCATATCACATCATTGTGCATGTGGTCATGTGACAGCAAATCAAGCAACGGGTCACGGGGGTACTCCCCAATAAGATCTCACATGATCAGACGCATCCCATAAATCGAGTATAACCTCCAAAATCTCAATTGGTCATGGCCCACAATTGCACCGATTTCCTTTAGGCTAGAACAACAAATATTGTCGGGTATGTTACAGAGTAAATATACAGAATTATTATCCGATGGATAGAATATACCCCACTTCTTTTTGTATTTTTAAAGCATGTGAAACTAGTCTATAGTGCACAGAAAAGTAGAGGACAACTGCGTCGATGATCAGCGTGGATAAGCCGGCGTCAAGGCTGATGTCAAATCATTTATCGACGCATTTATTCATGTGAGATTACGACGGTCCCCTAAAATGGGGAGCACCCGGTCACGGGGCTGGAACATTTTCTATTGTATTATAAGATGGGACATGGCCGGGTATGTGACAAAGTACATATACAGAAATTATTATCCGATGCATGTTAAACTGGTTTTTGATATGTATTAAAGTAGAGGAAACACCATGAATGATGTTAAAATTTATCGACAAACTTAGCCATGTGGGATCCCGCCTATACTACGA